AGTCTTTTGATGGGAGAAAACTATGCAGATCTCCAACTACTAATTATCAGATGTCAAGCTCAACTCTAAGAAATAAAGGGTTCTGTCTCTCTTTGTTAGTTTTTGTGTGCAGTTGGGTAACACAGATAGAATTATAGTCAATCTGCTGCAATCACAAACCAGAGACTACCATGACATTCTGCACTTCCTCTTCATTTCTCAGTGGCTTCATATTAGCACCATATTTACTACTCCTTGTTGCTTGAGTTTATTTTTAGAGATAATGGCTTCCTTCACAAAGCACACTAAATCAAGAGGACTCTGCCATATTTTAGTCTACCATGTTAAATTAAAAAGTTCATGTTGTCTCATTGTGTCATGTAAAGCAAAAGCACAAAATGAATAGAATAGACCATTATTCAAGAAACCATTGGTGTATCAGCCAAATATGGCTTATAATCTAAACTACTTTCATTATTTGAAATAATAAGTCGCCAGCTCAATTTTCTATTATTCTAAAAGATGGAAGAATTCATACTAAACAGATATAGAAATATATAAACTTTATTTTTAGATTGGATTACAAAATCAAGTACATGTGTGAAAATCATTCATAAACTAGTGCAAAGAAGAGCAACAAAGATGATTAGGGGTCTGGAGGCTAAAATATATAAAGAAAAGCTGCAGGAATTGGGTACGTCTAGTCTAGTGAAAAGGAGAACCAGGGGCAACAAGTTGCAGTGTTTCAGGCGCTGCTACAACGAAGAGGGGGGTCAACCTATTCTCCAAAGCACCAGAAGGCAGGACAATAAACAATCGATGGAAGCTAATCAAGGACAGAAGCAATCTAGACCTAGAAAAACTTCCATGACAATGAGAACAATTAACCAGTAAGTGGCTTCCCTCCAGAAGTTGTGGTTGCTCCATCACTCAAGGTTTGAAAGATCAAATTAAACAGCCATTTATCCAGAATGGTATAGGGTCTCCTGCTTATGCACTAGAAGACCTCCAACATTCCTTCCAACTCAGTTATTCTGTTATAACTACACAGAAATATGATTAAATCCAGTCTCCTTCTAGACACACATGGTTATATACGGTGTATGTATGTATGTATGTATGTATGTAGATATGTGCATGTGTACACACACACACATACAGACAGACACATTCTTATTTTATTCATAACAATTGTCTGCTACATATAAACCAATAACAGGAAACAAGGGCCACTTCTCAGCTCCCATAAGACCTTGAGAAAAATGTTATGCCAGGAATGTCCAACTATTTTGGCAAGTGGGCACATCTGGAATTTTATTGCAGTACTAGCTGATAACCGAGCATTGTCCCGGTATTTATTTATAGGTGAGAAATGTCCAGACCCAACATAATTTCTAAGGTTGAATTTTCCGCCTTATCAGAAGGAGCTCCCTTGTGGAGTACTATAAAGCCATTACCATGTCAACTCTACTGTGCTGTACAGTAGAAGCCATTTTATGGCACTACAATAGAAGCCATTTGAAGACTGTATAGTAACAGAACACACACCCTGAGGGGTCTTAGGGGTGTCTTACTCCTACAGTATTTGTTTCCAGAAAGTAAGACATCTGTGTACCAAGTTTTGGTTGAAATTGCTTGAAGCGTTCCAGAGTTATGCTGGAAGACACACACACACACACACACACACACACACACACACACACACACACACAATTTTTAATATATAGATTATTGGTGTTACATGGGGAAAAGAATGTTTGACCACTCACAAACTATTTGTTGGTACAAACTGTTCAGATGACCAAGTACAAAACTCACAAAGTTCATTGGATCATTCAAGTAGAAAATGAAATACAGAAGGTACACTAATATTTGTCTATAGATAGTGGCCATTCCAAAAGAATTGTTAAGCTTTATATTAATATTCTTCTGCAGGCAGAACTGATTAAACATTTAATATTATTGAAACATTCTTGTAACCTACCGGCAATTAAATAGGAATAGTATTGTGGTTTGGACAGCACAGGAGCAAAGAGGACACACTCTTATTTTCTATTAAAATAGAAACCTAGGAAAATAGAAATACACATTGCAGCTGAAGAAAGGAAATCCAAATGGATGCATGCATGCATGCATGAGGGCGCAGTGGCTAAGCAGTTAAGATGCTGGGCTTGTTGACTGGAGGGTTGGCAGTTTGAGGTCAAGTACCATGTGATGAAGTGAGCTTCCATTACTGACTCTGGATTCTGCCAAACTAGCAGTTCCAAAACATGTAAATGCAAATAGATAAATAGGTACCACTTTGTTGGAAGTTAACAGTGTTCCATGCATTTTTGTCATATAATCATGTCAGCCACATGACCACAGAAGCATCTTCAGTCAACATCTGAATCACCATACTTTCAGGCTGTAAGTTGTGGATGAGTACCCCCTCTCCGAAGAGTAAGACATGACTGCCAGGGAAAACTTTGCAGCCATGAGTTCTATGGTTTACCTATCAGGACATAGTAAAAATCATCTAATCTTAGCAGTTATTAAGTATGCTGTATACGGCCTCAGATAACTTGACATATTATATCATATAATTTATTTTACAAAAAGAAAGCCAAAATTGAGAAGCCATGTATGAAAAACTAAGTATACCTTATGAGTCAATAATTTGTAGAACCACCTTTACCAGCAATAATTTGAAGTATGATTTTATTAGCTTTTCATGTTGTTGTGGAAGAATTTTGCCCCATTTTTATTTATAACATTCAGTTCAGTGAACTTTGTAGAGATTTGTTTATGCAAGACTCTCTTGAGGTCCCACCACAGCATTTTAAATTGGTTGAGGTCAAGATTTTGACTGAGCCATTACAACACCATTTCTTTTTCAGCCATTCGGTTGAAGATTTGCTGGTGTGCTTGGGAACATTGTCCAGTTAAAACTTGGCTAATATTGGCCAAGCTTTAACTGTTGTACAGATGGCCTTACATTTGACTCTAGAATACTTTGATATACAGAGTAGTTCATGGCTGAACTCAATGACTGCAAGATGCCCAGATGTCATGTGGCTGCAAAACAAGCTGAAATCATCACCATTCCACCATCGTGCTTGGCAATTGGTATGAAATGTTTGTGCTGATATGCTGTTTGGCCAAATGCGGCACTGTGCATTATGGTCAAACAACTCCATATTGGTCTCAACTGTCCAAAGGACTCTATTTCAGAAGTCTTGTGGTTTTTTTACATGCAACTTGGCAAACCTAAGCTGTGCTATATTCCTTTTAAAGAGAAGAGGCTTTGTCCTGATAACCCTTCCAAACAAGGCATACTTAACCAGTCTTTTAAAAACCGTACTACAGTAGCATGAACTTCAACATGTCAAGAGGCCTATAGAGTCTGAGATGTAACTCTTGGGTTTTTTTCAATTTTTTGAAGAGTGCACTGTCTGACCTTGGGGTAAATTTGCTGGAATATCCATTGTCTTGAATGTTTTCCACTTGTGAATAATCTTCTTCATTGTAGAATGATGGACTTTAAATTGTTTGGAAATGATTTTATAACTCTTCCCAGATTGATGGGCAGCAACAACTACTTAAGATCATGGATGACTCTTTACTCTTCAGCATTTTGTTAATACACACCTCAATGCTCGGGACTAGTAAACTCCTTAAATTTCTGCTTTTATTGAGGTAGTCACATTTGTTGATGATCAATTGTTCAAGGCCCTTGATTAGCAGTACCTGGCTGCTACTTAGCCTCTGCATACATATGAAAACAGTAGGGTGTACTTAGTTTTTCACACATGGCTTCTGCGTATTGGCTTTCTTTTTATAAAATAAATGGTGTCATGGTGTGATATGTCGTGTGATGCTCATCTGAGGTTGCATTTAGCCTATTTTTAAGAATAGGTAAGGACTAGATGATTTTTTATTAGGCTTGATATGTAACACTCAATACAGAACTCAAAGATGGTGTTTCTTTTTCACACATCTTTACATATATGAGTGTATGAATTTGTGTGTGTTTTTGCAGTAAAATATCTGTGTGTATCTGTGATGGGCAACAATACCTCTATTACTAACAATTAATCAGTGGAAGAATTTGCTTCCAGAAGTTGAGACTGATCTAACACTGGAAGCTTTTAAAAAAGAGATTGAACAGCCATTTGTCTGAAATGGTATAGGCTTTTCTGCCTGAGAAGGGGGTTGGACTAGAAGACCTCCAATGACCCTTACAACTTTGTTATTCCGTTCTATTCTAATTCCTAATTTTTCTTCCTCAGAAGAGTGGAATATGAGTTCTTCTAAGCATAGAATTGTTGCTCATCACACATACACACAGTGATAATTAGATAAGCAGAGATTGCAACTTACATATAAACAAGTTTAAGATAACAAATATCAACATATCTAAATCAGGGAATGCCAGATTTTTAAAATGTACTTGGGAGGAGGTACAAAATGTTTACTGCTACTAATGCCCGCTTTAAACTCTATTCCACCTTCCCTCAATAGGCAATACAATAAGATAACGGCATAATATGGTTCCACATCGGCCACTCTCTCCAACCAAGCGTGCTTCAATTATATAGCACTATATTAGGATGTAGTATGACTCTCATCATTTCCAGCCATTAAAGTCAAATATAATAGGATTTGTATTTTAGGCCGTTTCTGGAGGTTTTCTGCGCTTTCACCACAGGCATATAGGTACTTCTTATCGGCAATAACGCCCGTCTGCACAACGCCCGTTTACTCAAGGATGCATCCTTTTTCCCGCCCTCTCAAATGACATCACCAGCTCGTGGCGAAAAAAAGCAAGGCTCCGAATTCTTTCTCTTGATTTGCCAACGAGACAGCCTGTCAGAGAGAGGAAGTAGAAGTACGGAGCTTCTGAGGAAGCGGAAGAAGCTGAAAAGAAGCCGAGGGCGGAAGTGGGTCCGTTTGAGGTTTGGAATAGGGGGAAACGGGATTCCGGTAGGGAGGCGGTGGACTGTTATCTGCGGCGGTCCCGCAGGCGGGAGCGGGTAAGTGTAAGGTTTTGTTCGGGAAAGACGAAAGCCAATCCCTAAAAATCCTTCCAGTTTTAAATTCTTGAGGGGAGTTTTTAATTTTCCCTCCGTCACACATAAGAGTGGCTTGGAAATGAGGTTTCTTAGCCTGGCAAGCCAAATGAAACTTCCATGTTCTGAAGCAGTATATCTCTCACTACCTGTTGCTGGTAGACGAGGACGTGAGAAATTCTTGGCTTCCTGGAGGCAATTAGATCACGTTGGTTGGGACTAGAGTGGCATCTGCTTTGGTTACCAAAGGCTGAGCTGGGTTTGGGACTTGTTGACAAAGGTCCTGTTGCTTTGCTTTGAGGATTATTGGGAAGTGGAGTCCTTGACCTGAGAACTAAACAACACAATCACTGATATTTAAACAAAGCTATGGCGATAACAAGGGATGGTGCTGATTACGGTGGGTGTGACATTCCTCACTGGGAATGCTTCCTTTTCTACTTTTAATATAACTTATTTATATTTGATGCCAGTCTCTGAAATTTAGAGATAGCATTCATGCATACAATCATTTTAATATGTCTTATGCCATAAATTAAAAGAATAAAGATGTCAGATTTATATAACGTTCTCTAGTTCTTTCTATGTTTCATTCTGATCATCTTGTTTGTGTATATGTTCTCCATCTTGAGGAGGTAGTATATGGTTTCCATCTTTATGTTTTATATATATTAGTGCCTTCTAGTGATTGACTCCTGGCAACTGCTAGTAATAGTTGCTATATAAAATATTCTAGTTGTACCAGAAGTTCATCTTAAGCCTTGGGACAGTGTGAAAAATCCTAGCATTGCCTCTGATAGTATCCAATAGAGCAGGGGTCACCAATCTTTTGGACCTCAGTGACCATTAAATTCATAGTTTTAAATTCTTTGGATCATTAATATGATCTGACTAATGACTGGGTGGGTGGGGCATGTCTGGGTGATCATGTGACTGGGTGGGTGTGGCCAACTCAATGTCACTCATGTCGAGGGACATCTCGCTGGCCTCTGCTGAACTCCCCCTGCCAGGACAGTTGTTGAAGCTGAGCAGCCACCATAAGAAAGAGTTGGCCAAACAGCTGGCTCAGTTCAAATTGGATCTGACCGAGAAGGAGGCTCAACAGAAGCACCTCAGTGAGGACTACGAGGATAGGCTTTCCAAGCAGAGGAAGTACAAGGCAAGGCCAGGTACCAGCGCCTGGAGGCTTAGTGGCTGAGATGGTCAGCCAGTTCCAGGACATAATGCTGTCCCAGTGGAACAAAGACCTCTTGTTCTTTACCACCACCAGCACTTCCCTCCAGCCTTCACCCAAAGCCCTGCACCAGGAGGCTGAAGCAGACCCCAAGTTGGAATGTTTGCCTTGCTCCAACCCACACAAAAAGACCCTAAAGGAGGAGAGTCTCTGCAGCAATCCTGGCATGGGCAACTGCAAGGAGCTAGCATGGGCCAAGGTGGGACTGCTGCAGCCCATTCTCCAGCAGCAGAACAAAGTGAAAGAGAGATCAGGGCCCTATCGCAAGAAGTCCCATGCTCCTGGGAAGATAGAGAAGAAGCTCTCCGGTTCGTTAGCCTCCCACTGTACCTTGGAAACTGGACTGTTTCTCTCCGTCCCCTTTTCCTGTTTTGTCTGCTGGATCAACGCAGGGAGACATCAACCTAGCTTGACACTGGGGTGCTGTATGCCTGGACCAGGTGCTTTCTCTCGGCCTCCCATCCATTCTGCAAGGCCTCTGGGTGGGAAGCCAGAGAGAAATCACCTAGCCCGGGCACATAGCCTTCCAGGAACCTCTGTTGTGTTCCTTCTCCCAAAGAGAAGCTTTGTGGTTAATCTGAGAGAAATCACCTGGCCTGGGCACATAGCCTTCCAGAAACCTCTCTTGTGTTCCTTCTCCCAAAGAGAAGCTTTGTGGTCAATCTGAGAGAAATCACCTGGCCTGGGCACATAGCCTTCCAGAAACCTCTCTTGTGTTCCTTCTCTCAAAGAGAAGCTTTGTGGTCAATCTGAGTGAAGGAAAAAGAAGAGGTGCAGACTGATGGTAGCTTGCTGACGTCAGTGGGACAGCGACAGGCACCCAGGTGGGAGAGCTGCTCTTGGATGACCAATGGGTCAGTCTTGTGACTAGAGCTCTGGAATATGGGACAGGCTGGGCAGCTCGTGATGGGATTGGAAATCTCCGTCAAAAAGGGTGGTATGTGGAATGTGGAACATTGCAGGTGGAGCAACATGCAAGGAGTAGTGCAGCCCTCGCAGCTGGAATGAGGTAACAGTGCTATTGCAGCAAAAAGCTGTGGCAGCGCAAGCAGGCCGAAGTGGCAGCGGTGGTGGATAGAGCCTTAGTGTGCGGGAGCAAAGTGCCACTTGCCTTTGCAGAACATCATTCCGCCTTTGTCATGGTACATTTGCACTACCTAGCAGTGCCAAGGCACCCCTCACCTCCCTCGTAGGATCGGGTTACCAGTTCTTTCCCACATCATTGGCAGCCAGGATTGGCTCATTGCCACTGCTTGCTTCTGCTTTGCTTTTGCCAGGATGGTGAGCGCTAGAAGGATTCTGTCCTCGGCCTGCCAGTTCCCTCCCCACCATTTGGTTTGGGGAAGACAGTGTCCTGCAGGCCCTGGTGTGGAGGGCAGGCAGGCGGGTGGAGCGAACAACCTGGAGATTTGGGCGGCCTTTACGTGGCCATGATGCCTGCAGGATCATGGAATGAAGAGACCCAGCTTTGGCCTCCAGCGCACTCTTCTCCTCCCAGGCAGCGGGAGTTTTATGCAATGCTCACTGAGGCATCTGATCTCCCGTGACAGAGGGAAGGACTGGAGTTACTAAACAGGAGGCCAGGCTAAGTGCCTGAAGGACTCCATCCCATCACTGGGAGTCCAGGCACTTCAGCGAGAGCGCCCAAAACTTCAGCCGGGCTCCTCAAGACACAGAATTTACATAGTCCGATCTAGCGCCCGGGCTGGCTATAACACGAACATTTATTGCACACATCCAGGCCAAGGGCCATAGTTTGAGGACCCCTGAGTTAGTGCAATATAAAAAATGTAAGTAATTTTTCTGCAGACCACCAAAGTTTTCTTGTGGACCACCAGTTGGTACCCACTGCAATAGAGTTCTTTTAACCTCAGAATGTAATTTGGCCATAATGATCATAGATAATGGGTACTGTAATTCAAGAGCTATGGATGTGAGGTTGGGAAAAGCTCCTGCAAGAAATGATCTTGGTATATGAGTAAAATAAAATAAGTATATTCTATTAGTCATATGCTTGTTACAAGGAGGGCTGTAAAAGGACTGTGAACCAGTATATAAATCTAAGTGCTATTGCTATTATGTCAAGTCTGCAACCGATACTTCTTTAAACATATTAAAATTGGTTATTTCAAGAACCCTATGTTATAAAACTTACATATTTCCCCCATGGGATAAATGAATGTACTGGTTGCAGGTTGAAAATCTGGTGGTGAAACCTTTTCAGGTATCATTTATTCATTAAGTGTTTAGTTATTTTCATACATAATTAACAGAGTCATTTAATTATATTGTATCTTAAATCTTAATGTTTCTTGCTGAAAACTTGTTTTTTAACAGTTGAACTTCCATAGTAATTAAGCCATTTTTCCTGATACTCAGGATTCTTTATTTGTGGCTAATTGCATTGTTTCCATTTCAATTCTAAATGATTATCTTGAAAAAAATTGTATAATGCTAAATTTTAAATCTAAAAATCAGTTCAATATCCTATTTTAATATTGGTCAAAGCTTGTAATACAACTTTAAAAACATCAACATTCAATTCTGCATGGTTCAGGGGTTGAAGGGGTTCAGTTGAAAGGGGTTAAGGAATTAGCTTGATTATGCCTGATTTCTGACCTTATGGTAAAAATAAGGTAGAAGCATATTCATTTGTAGTTCATTTATCTTGGATACAACCCCAAATTGGTATTTAGGTGATGTTGAAGGTGTATTGAAATGGCAATTTAATAGACATTTAATTTCTGCACTTCTCTAACTTGCAAAATCCTTTTCATTTTCTATTTGCAGCTGCAATTTTCTTGTGAAGTGAAGAACAACAGTATTCTTTCCATTTTAATAACTGACTTGCTCAAGGATTTCTCAGCAGATGATGATTCAAACTGACTGCTTGAATCAAATACTTCAGTTGCTATTAAAAAAAAGGAAACCTATTTCTTTCTCTGGCTGAAATATTTCTGTCTTTCAGTTGCAGCATTGTTTGCTGACAGTCTCATCTTTCTATTGGAACTTGTACAATTGTTGTAGGCCATGGCAGGTCGACGTCCTAATGGGCCAACTATAGGCAAGATCTGTCAGTTTAAATTGGTGCTCCTGGGAGAGTCAGCTGTTGGGAAATCAAGCCTTGTCTTGCGCTTTGTAAAAGGACAGTTTCATGAGTATCAAGAGAGCACAATCGGAGGTGAGTGTCACAATCATTGGTAAAGCCGTTCAGAATCTCTTTGAAATTTAGCCTTGTATGATAGTTAACAAGTATTTTTCATTAATGAGTTCTTTCTAAACTAACCTGTATAGAACATTTTTGGGGATGGACACAATTGTTAATTCCTGCTGATACCTTCCATCTGTCTTTGAATCATCTAGCATACTCTGTGTGTTGGACTACAACTCCCAGAATTCTCTAACAGAAAGTCGTGGTTGCTGGGAATTCTGGAAGTTGGAAGACAAATCTAGACGGTAAGTTGTTATTCAGTGGACTATGGCTATAGCATCCATTGTGACTACACAATAATGGACAGATGTTAGACAAATTTTCTTAAAATACTTTGTATGAAATGTAGGTAATGTTGGAAGCCTAAGTCTAAATGATTTCCCAGAAGTGTTCCCTTATTAATATATTTTCTGAATGGAGCAACTTGGCAGAAGGATTGAGTTGTTTCCAGGAAATGCTGAGATTAGGATTTTTTATGACATTTCTCCTGGCATAATCTAAGAGATCCTGGATGGTTTACAATAGATACTGATACCATGTAATAAAATAAAAATAAATATAAGCTAAATAACATCAGAAATCATACCTAGCATGTTCCAGAAGTCTCTTTGATATTTTTTTAAACTGTGGTTCCAATACAAGTGGAAAGAATAAAAACAAAAAAGACATTGCAAGTACATAGCCATGCAGAAACCTTGTTTTGTTAAAGTGTCATAATTGGCTTGAGGCCAATAGCTACATCATTTCTGCTCCTTTTTAAAATGTTCTGTGACAAATGCCGGGCACATTGTATACCTTGGCAATTCTGTACAAAAGTTTAGCAGAGCAAGCTTTTGTCTCTAGGTTTGAATCAGGTCTTTTTGACTAGGTAGAAATGAAGAATCTGCTTACAAATGTTAAACAACTATGCTCCATTAACAGAGTTATGTTTCAACTATGTCAGTGGGAGAAAATGTCTTCCACATATATCACTGGGAAAAAAACTTCAAGTATACAGCAGATGGGCAATTATAGAGTTAATACAAACTGTAGCCAAAAATTGCTTTATAGGTGAAAAAAGCTCTTGTTTCTATGTAAAATATAGCCACCCCTGAGTGGAACCCAGCCTCAATTCCTGTTCTGACTATTGTTTAATCTTTCTGTATTCTAGCTGCTTTCCTCACACAAACCATTTGCTTAGATGATACAACAGTCAAGTTTGAAATCTGGGATACAGCTGGACAGGAGCGCTACCACAGCTTGGCCCCCATGTATTATCGAGGGGCTCAAGCTGCCATAGTTGTTTATGATATCACTAATATGGTAAGGCTTTTATAGATTGAGTCCAAAATTATTCCACAGGGGCAATAGTGTTTCTTTTCTGGTTTCATTCACCTTGAGGATATGATATCCCAGGCATATATGAATGCATCCACTGAATCAGTGGCATTCTAGGAGAGAACCACTGATGCAAATAGTTTGAATTTCGTGCCATTTTACTTTGATATTGGGCCCAGTTTGCACAGTGTTACATTTCAGAGCAGCTTATTCTACACAAAGTTTCTGTCTATACAATATTTAAAGATACAATGAAAGAGAAGGCAGGCTAAAGCCCTCATCTGCAGCATGAAGTGATGTAACATTGGCATTACTTTCTGGCCTCAGTAAGAAGGAAGCCGCACTTAAAACTGCTTTAAACCAGGTAATGGAAATAAAATAGCCATAGATGTCCTGATGTCTATAATTCTATTGAATCGTCATCTGTTGACTTACAGAATTAATTTATGTTAAAAATGAGAATAGCCCAAATTTTACAAAACTGCCATATCTGGAAAGATATCAGTGCTTTTACATGAATTTGGCCATTTTTAAAAGTTTTAAGCTTTTAGCTTGAAAGCGTTGGAGAATGTACATAGGTCATGTTGAATATTTGGATTTTTGTATTCTCAGCTTCTTTCTCTTCCTGGGGACATTTCATTTGCAGTCTTGGTAATACTGATGGTACAGGAAGAGAAACAAGCTCAGAAGTATATCTGAATACTATTTTCATAGGGTGTTGCTGTTTATTTATTCAATACATTTGTACTTCCCATTAAAAATATCTCAAAGAGGTTTATAAGTCTCAGGACATCTAAGCTTTCCTACATATTTGAAGTTAAAAATCTAGCAATTTGATATTTTTGTATTAACATCTTCATAAACAAAATCCCAAGTACTGACATCCTTTACATGTATTAAATCTTGAATTACTTCTGTGCACATGCTCTGTCTCCTCCTTTCTTGTGACCAGAAGTATAAACAAGAATTCGGTGTTTAATGTGCATGAACTAAGAATCATCGTTCACTATTGGAATGGTAAATCTGCAGCCCTTTAGATCCTGATCTGAAGTTCCTGGTATCTCTTGCCATTATTCTTCAGCAGCTTTTGCCACCTGGATAGGCGGCGGGAGGAAATCCGTTCTGTGAGTGCCAGTTTGTCTTATACCTGGCATACTGTTCGAAGCTGTTCCCCAGTGAAGGAGCCCCATCATTGAAAAATGCATTGTATGATATATCACCTATGTCGGAGCAGGGGGCATATGTATGTTAGAGTTCCAGGAGGTGAGAATTATGGAGCTATGCTTGTTCTTCATAGGATACCTTTGTGCGTGCCAAGAATTGGGTGAAGGAACTACAAAGGCAAGCTAGCGCTAGCATTGTCATTGCCCTGGCAGGGAACAAGGCTGACCTGGCAAGCAAACGAGCTGTTGACTTCCAGGTAGGTGACTGGTTTTTTTTACTGGGAAATAGTAGCTTTTCCTTCCACAATGTTCTTGGGTGCTTTTTCAACATGAACAATTAGTACCTTAAGATAGTTTAAGAATCATAAGTTGGTTAAGAACTGCTTTTGTCCAAATCCAATTGTATCCTTTTCAAATTTTACTCTTTGCATAAGGACTATTAGAGGTGTCTTATCAGGATAATTCCTCAACAAAATGTTTTGACTGGGGAATGATCTAATAAATCTAATACCATATAAGCTATGAATCCGAAAAGCCCTTAGTAATATTTCATTTTTGTTATGAATTCGCTACTCTGTCCTTAAACAGATTTTTTGATAAATTTTGATATGTTATTTTTAACCATGATTCTTATACATGTTTTCAGCAACCAAAAAGCATTTCAAAATAACAAAAAATATAACTTCATGAAAAGTATTAATCTGCTAATCTGAGAGAAATTGCCTTTTAAAAACAGTTTTTTATCTGGAATTTACACATTTACAATCCAAGGGTAATACTAACCTGTGTAAAGCTGCTAGATTTAGCAATATATCCTTTACTTATTTCACACCTTTTATTTCTTGGTTGGTACAAACTTGAATGTAATCACAAATGTATTAAATTAGGCATGAACATCTCATAGCTTGAATCCCCTTTGTAGTCCCTGGAATCATTTTTTGACTATAACTGGTCAATATTCTCCTCCTCCTCCATTTAATTTGGAAAAATGATGAGCTTAGAATAGCACCCCCACTTTCAAGGTTTTCAGCAGAAGTGGATTTAAACCTGATTTCCTTAATTCCAGCCAATGAAATAAGACACACTATTTGGAAAAGAGCAAAGAACTGGAGATTAAGCAAAGAACAACAGATCAAATAACTGTTTTCTGAGACTTCTGTAATAAGAATGGTGACTTGGGCCCATCTTGGCTTAAATTTCAGAGTAATTGTAAAGACTGTTGAGAAATGAAATGGAACCTTTTGTTCCCTCTAATATGTACAGTAATTACCAGTGTCAACCTAATTCTGGGAATTATCAAGCATATTATATCTTAACACATTAACATACCTGGACAATATTTCTATATTTTATCTGTTCTATAGTCCCTCTTTGGAAATGTGGGTAGCTAGAGCTTTTTGGTCAAGGTTTGGTAGAGGGACTATGTTTATCATCTTCCCAATANAGGGACTATGTTTATCATCTTCCCAATATTTTTTAATGACACTGATATGGTCTAGCTTTAGAAGAAGCCAGCCATGCTTACAAAGGTTAAATGCATCTCTTTGAAAATTCTGACATTGCTGACATGATTGCTTACAGGAAGCCCAGCTCTATGCAGAGGACAACAGCTTGCTGTTTATGGAAACATCAGCGAAGACAGCAATGAATGTGAATGAGGCTTTTGTGGCAATAGGTTAGTCAAGGGGAGGAGAAAGGCAGCTTGAGGAGGGTATCCTCTCCAACTACTGCCATGGGCTACACCAAGCAAACTCTTTCATGGATAGTAATCTAAGTTCTCAAACACTCTGCAGAATTTTAACAATATAAATTTGTGGCAAGTTGCTAGCGTAAGCAAAAGAGCACCTTTCTGGTGTTGGGTAAGAGCATAGACTCTAAAATTGTAGCCTTGCATCCAGAAACTTGCAAGAGGGAAATAGAAACAAGGCAGGAAACAGAGAAAATAATAGAAAGGTGGGTGTAAAAATAATGGGTTGAATGACAGACTAAGTCAAGGTAAAAAGAAAATATGGAAAGCTTATAAACTATGGAATAAGATGGCCCAACAGCTGGGGAAAATGAGTGGCTTAGGAACACCTCTCCCTAAAGTGTATTTTGGGAATGTCCATCTCCCATTGAATTACAACAGGTACATTGGGCAAGATTAGCCAAGAAAAAGCTGGCAATCTGAGTAAATCTCTTTCCCCACAACCAATTTTTTTTTGTGCTTTTAATTTTTCCTGTGAAGTTAATTTAAGAGCCAGGCTCCTAAGTATACCCTCCTCTCTCCCCCAGCAAAGAAACTTCCCAGGAATGAACCACAGAGTGCAACAGGAACAGCAGGCAAGAATCTAAATGTCAACCTCCACGAGAATACCCAGTCCAGCAAGGGGCAATGTTGCAGCCACTAAGGATTCTTGTCTGGCAGCTCCAATTGGAACATGTCTGAATCAATTGCACTTACAGAAGACCAGCTGCCAGGATCTTTTTCCTTTCTCCTCCTCCACTGAGATTTTTTCCCCCTCATAGAATGGGGGAGGGGAGCATAGCAGAGGCCATTCCTTTTCTGAACAAACAATAGATTTGTTTTTTTAAGGAGTCCTTTTTTAAAATACAGATGAACAATGGCACTCTTCTACATCTTTGTGGGTGGACAATGTGTGCTTTCAAAACCTTGATCCCTCTTCCTTTCTGCCTTTTATTTTCTGAAGGGATTTATACTCTTGCATTTGCTCAGAGCTCTCTGGAAGAAGGGACATCCTTTCCTGAGACAAAATATGTCTATAACATCTGCTTGGTGATCCCAAGCTGATAGGGTTGTACCCTAAAGAAAAATACAAGTTATAGCCAGGGGAGGCTACATAAAATAGGAATGAGTTGCAGAAATACTATGCACATTTTTCTTTGAAATTTTGGTTCAGAAATGACATACAAATCTGTAAAAGACTGTTACAGAAACCTGAAGGTAACAGTGAATTGAAGCTGTAGCATTGATAGATTGAGAGAAACCCATAGCCTCTAAGCTTTGTATTGATCAAATTTGTAATTATGAATGTTTTTAAAGAACAATAGAAAGCTGATTTTCCTCTTTTGTATTATAGTTTCCAGCATTTAACAAATCAGTATCTTTTAATAACATATACCAATTAGTCCTTTATCCTTCTTAGGTTTAATTGGGCTTTTGGTATGCCAAATCTACATTAACCTATTATTTACATATTGGGTCTAATGCACTAATTCAGCCTGTTAAATATATAAAATGATCATTTTTTACAAGCAACATTATGCTATTAGTAATCCTATCAGGATGTGGGTGTATCAGCGAAACAGGTTGGTAGAGTGTATTCAAGCTGGGGCGGGGAGCAATGATAGGTATTTTCATATACACAACATTACCAATATTGGTAATGCAAAAGGGGTTTTGTTTCTGAGCTAGTGTCCAGGGCAATTTTTGTCTTATGCATATTTGTATTTAAGACAGTACATCAGTCTCTTCAATTCAAAGCTCCAGTTGTGTATGAATTAAAAAATAAATTTTTATAAGTCGTGTTGAATGTTAACTTGAATCATTGTTTTTGCACATATCAGCTTACATACTGATAACTTTCTAAATTTAACATTTAGTTTTTGCAAGGGTTTTGTAACTTTGTTTACCACAACTCCCAAATATGATTAATCGTTTTAGCAATCATTTCCTCATGAATATAACTGATGATTTAAAGAGGGTTAAGATCGGAAAGGAAAATAAAAATAAAAGATGGGTAACTTTCACCACATTTTTAATAAATGGATCGTCTTTAACTTTGTCCTAGCATTCAACAAATATTTTGCTGAAAATTACCCATATATCACCATGGTCATATTCAGAAAGCTCTGCTCAGACAATGCTCCTATGCCTTTACTTTTCCAAGGCAAATTTGATCAGTTTTTATAAAGAAAAAACAACCTACAACTCTAGATATACACCCCTCCTCTAATTGCTTGAGGATCATGATCCACAGTTTGAGAATTCATGCTATACTGTTTGGAAATCTGAGGTACTATGTACAAGTCCTACTTTATATTGTGTAAATTATCCACTATTGGGGAAATGCTACATTTTTATTTTATAAACATGAGAAACATGTAATCCTTGCATATTGACCATGGAAAACACTTTTTGGAATTCCTAGAGCGCTGAAAATTAAATTAGGGAGGAATGTAAAAAATGTCAAGAGGATGTCTGAAAGCTTAATAAAGAAAATTGATTTTTAAAAAAGTTATCAAAATCCAAGCGATAAAATTTGTATTTTGAGGTCACATTCATTTAAAGTCATTTAAATGAACAAAAGTGGTAAAATGCTCTTCTCAGACATAAGACTACTCTTGGATGGGTATTCATTTTCACACATCTTTCAGCTGTAGATCTAAACATTAAAGCGAAGCTGAAATACGCATGAAAATGACTGATAATGCAATATATCTATAGTTGAAATTTAAACTATAAATTTTGTTAAATACTCATCCTACAAAAGAAGTCTATGCTTGACAGCATTCATTCCATTTTACAAATGGGTATGTTCATTTACAACAGATATTATAAAATCTGAAAATTACAAAGGAAATCAGAAATATTTATTCTACATATTTTTTCACTCTTTGCTGATTCTATATTCACGGTTAGAAAAACAATTATTTGCCTTTAAAAAAAATACAATAAGTTTCCGACTGGACAGCCACCTTTCTTTATTAATCTATCGAAATATATTCCCCAGCATGCAACTGATGCCAGGGAGCATGCGCAATAGCGCTCAACATCCATAGACAAAGGCCCCCTCCCAGCTTCTGAACATGCTCAGTGGTAGCCACGCGCCCACGCCGTCTTGCAGGGTCTTGGGCATCATGGCGGAGGCAGAGGTCTCGCAAACTACCCGGATCCCGCAGACTAGCGCTCCTTCCTCCGCCACCTCCTCTGCAGTTACAACGCCGCCGGTAGTAGGGGGAAGCGGAGCTGGAGGAAGCACCAGTGACCCGGTCCGTCCAGGATTAAGTCAACAGCAGCGCGCGAGCCAGCGCAAGGCGCACGCGCGGAGCTTCCCGCGGGCAAAAAAGCTGGAAAAGCTGGGAGTATTTTCAGCATGCAAGGTACGGGGGCCTGGAGGAGACAAAAGAGTTTAGGACTGCCTTCGGGTGTGTGGACCAGCCATCGTTGGATATTTTCTTCCGGACAAGATCTGTAAACTTAAAAAAAAACATAAAACCCATGCAAATTCCTGCCAGTTCATGGGTTCAAGATTTTATTTATGGAACTATCCTGTGCTCTGGGCCCTTCTCAGTAGCCGGCTTTGGGATATAAGGAATTACTGTACAAATCTGTGGTTCTTTTGGCCTACTCTGATGGGCACTAGGTGGCTCTCCAAAATCTAGACAGGTCTTTTGCACCCATTCTAACGATCGTCCCTTGACCAGCAGTAGTAGGAATTAGAAGCAATACACATTTTTGCATGCAAGCATATAGTATTTTGCTTAGCTATACCTCTTCATCCATTTAAAATTTAAATCAACATACTGATTTTAATCACATCCATCAAATGCTTCCCGAGAATGAAACTAATGAAGATACATTTATTTGTCTAAAACAGAGAAATTCTGTTTTTCATAAGGTTTAGAGTTATCAAGATCTCAAATGCCACTGGATTTGCAACCTGATATCCTTAGTTTTAGACCATATTATTTACCTGATGCTTGCCCAAAATATATTAAATACCCTTTTAAAATGCATTTTTAAAAGATCACTATGTGATTAGGAAAAAAACACTCTATCAAAGTTAGATTTGATTTGTCCCCTTAATAAAAAGAAAACTAGCAAGCTGATAAAATACTTTAAGAGGAAATAAAAGTACAGTGTGAGTTGTGTAGAAGGCTTGATTTGCAGAATATTCAACAGATTATAAAGTAATTTACAGTATTTATAGTGAACATATCTTTGAAGATACTTGCTGTGCCATGATGACAGTGTGGTGCCTTGGAGGGGGCATGGCTACACATAACACACCTCTCAGCATCCCCTTAAAGAAGCTGCATCTTTTCCTGACTTGCACTGTAGCATTCTGCATTCCTAGAGTACATATAACAATACACAGAGAGTGTAACTGAATGTATACAGTAAGAACCATTAGCAGAGTCAAACAGGATGTTAACAGGATATGAAGTTGCATGCATTTTTCCACCTCATCACATTCACCCATTTTTATCAGTGACAGTACTTTGAGGAACAAGAGTCCATGAGAGAAATCAATTTCTATTTTCTCAAAAGTGAGATAGAAATTCTATATGTATCTCTATAATCTTTTTGTGTTGAAAGGCCATTATTTTTTTAATAAAATGAAAAACAAAAAGTCAAAGACCTTTGAGAACATTTCCTGCAATAATGCTGGAGTAATGAACATTCCATATAGATTTACTTTATAAAGTAGCTTTGTGAGGCAGCACATAAAGATACACTAAGGAAGGAAAATAGTTACTTCTCCATGTATTATTGGAAGACAATTATTCCAGATCATTGCCTTATTAGTTGGAGCTGATAGGGAATAAAGTCAGAATTGCCAACTAATGTAATTTTTAGAAGTGAATTGAGAAATTGTACAGAAGGAAGGAACGTATCTATTTTAATATATTTTATTTAACTATATTAATTACACCAGTTTAAGCCCATGCATGGAATATAAATGTCTATGCAACTCCATAAAATGAAACATGTTCTGCTGTAGAACTTATTCCTAGAGATATTTGATCTCTTCAATGATCTTACAAAGCTGTCAGGTTCATGTTTGTTTTCTTAGTATTCTTAATTATATTTCCTCTATAATATATAATTCTGCCATGTTTTGCATAGTTCAAAAAACTGAACACCCATAATTCACTGCCAGGAAGTCAGATAAAGGCTTTATACATATAGTCCTTGAATTGTGATCCCAGTTGAGCCAAAAGTTTTGTTGCTAAGCAAGACAGTTGTTAAGTGTGTTTTGTTCCATCTTATGACTCTTCTTGCCACAGTTAAGTGAATCAACACAGTTGTTTAGTTAATAACATATTGTATTTATCAGACTATAAGATGCACTGGAGTATAAGACGCACCAAGATTTTGAAGAGGTAAAGTTTTTGCCTTCCCCGGCCCCCAGGACCTTTCTGCAGGCCTCCAAACTCTGCATGCTTCATTTTTTTTCCTGGGCACTGAGGAGGGTAAAAATGAGCAAAAAACCAGTCCATTTTTTGCAAAAACAAGCCCTCCAGAGTGCTCCTGTGGATTAGAGGGACAAAACTGGGAGTGTTCCCCAGTCCCCAGGAGCACTTTTCAGGCCTCCCAAACCCTCTGCGCATCCTTTTCTGTGAAAAATGGGATGGGCGGGGTGGAGTTTCCAGAAGCCAAAAATGCTGTATTCAGTGTACGGACCCAGATTTTCGCCCTCTTTTTTTTTTTTTTTTTTTTGAAAAAGGTGCATCTTATACTCCAAAAAATACAGTAGTAAAGTGAATCTGACTTCCCCATTGATTTTGCCTGTCAGAAGATTGCAAAAAGTGATCAAATGCCCTCAGAACATTGCAACTGTCATAAATATATGCCAGTTAGGAAGCAACTGAATTTTGATCACGTGACCGTGGAGGTACTGCAACCGTCAAAAAATGTGAAAAAAGAGTCATAAGTTACTTTCTTCGGTGCTGTTATAACTTTGAATGGTCACTAAATGAATGGCTGTAATTAGAGGACTATCTGTACTATTGGTGTTGATTACTTTAGTTATCATACCTTTTTAAATTTTTACTGCTACTTAGCAGTTAGACTTATATACCGCTTCATAGGGCTTTCAGCCCTCTCTAAGCGGTTAACAGAGTCAGCATATCGCCCCCAACAACAATCTGGGTCCTCATTTCACCCACCTCGGAAGGATGGAAGGCTGAGTCAACCTTGAGCCGGTGAGATTTGAACCGCTGAACTGCAGATAACAGTCAGCTGAAGTGGCTGCAGTACAGCACTCTAACCTCTGCGCCACCTACTTCTTTTGTATATATTTATATCACATCATTTAATCCTATAGTATCAATATTTTAAGTTTTATCCTCTAATATTAGTTTCAAAGTTCACACAGATTTTAGTAAAACCAGGTAGTCTTTGACTTAGAATAGTTCATTTAGTGATTTGTTCAAAATTACAATGGCAGTGAAAAACATGGCTTATGATCATTTTTTACACTTTGACCATATTAGTATCACCATTATTGTGTGATCAAAATTCAGATGCTTGGCAAATGGTTCATACTTATGACCGTTGCTGTGTCCCAAAATCATGTGATCCCCTTTTACAATCTTTGACAAGCAAAATCAATGGGGAAGTCAGATTCACTTAACAACCGTGTTACTAACTTATCAACTGCAGTGCTTCATTTAACAACTGTGGCAAGAAGGGTCATAAAATGGGGCAAATGTCTCACTTAACAACATACATTTGGGGCTCAATAGTGGTCATAAGTTGAGGAATACCTGTATAGTAATTTTGTAGTTTTGTGTTACTAATTCTAATATTCTATAGCTTTTTATATGTTGATGTTTTGTACCACATGTTTTATACTCTACTATAGTGGTTCTTAAGTAGTGTACCATTGCAGACAGGTATACCATAGACTTGTTACTATTGTCCCACAAGATTTTTGTCACATTACTTTTAAAATATTTTATTGTATTATATAATGCTTTGGTAAGACCACACTTGAATACTGCATACAGGTTTTGTTGCCATGATGTAAAAAAGTTGTGGAGACTCTAGAAAGAGTGCAGAGAAGAACAACAAAGATAATTAGGGGATTGGAGGCTAAAACATAAAGAACGGTTGCAGGAATGAAAAGAAGGACTAGGGGTGACATGATAGCAGTGTTCCAAGATCTCAGAGGTTGCTATAAGAAGAGGGGGTCATTCTATTCCCCAAAGCACCATAGGGCAGGACAATAAACAATAGGTGGAAGCTGATCAAGCAGAGAAGCAACCTAGCACTGAGGAGAAGCAATTTAGCAACTGAGGAGAAATTTCCTGGCAGAATAATTAATCAGTGGGAAAATTTGCCTCCAGAAGTTAAGACTGCTCTAACACTAGAAGTTTTTTTAAAAAGAGATTGGACAACCATTTATCTGAAATGATAGAGACTTTCCTGCCTGAGCAAGGGGTTGGACTAAAAGACTTCTAAGGTCCTTTCCAACTCTGTTATTCTATTCTATTCCTATTCTATTCTACTTATATTCTACATAATTTGATACAATGCAGATATTTTTAAAATTGTATAACTTGCCCTCAGACCTTCCTTGTATTACATGTTCTATATAAAATTAATAATTTTCTGATGTGCTACAGAACTAGGGCTATATTTAATATTTATGCCATGGATTCAAAAAGGTTGAGAAACAGTACTGTACTATATTATAATTTTATAGTCTCAATAAAAATTGTAATTATAAAACACACACTAATACGAATTTTATAGTTTTTGTATTAATCATTCTAATTTTGTTATTTTGCATAGTTGGGAAGCTAGATTGTTCATAGAGGCAGTCACTGATTAGTGATTCTCATTTAGTCATCATTCATTTTGAAGATAGTAATGAGAATATACATTTGCAACTAAAGTCACACTTATGATCTTTGCTTGTCTGAAAAATAAAGGAAAGTTGAAATAAGATCGTAAGAGTAATTATAGTTTCTCTTAGTAACTGCTTTGCTTAATTATCAAGTTGTTGGCTCCGGTTGTAGTTGCTAAATGAGAATGACAGTAATGCTAATATTAGTTTTGTTGGTTACTGACTGTTATAAAGGTAAAATTTCATTTGATTAAAATGCACTCACTTTTTTATCACAGATCTCCTTGATTCTTAGAATGCATCTCCAAAAGCAAGGGTGGCTTGGCCAATGAAAATGTTAACCTTTGTCTTTACTTTATGTGTTCAGTGTCTTACATTCTGCCTCTGATTTTCTCCCATCTCTGCAGGCTAATGACTCTTGCAAATGCAATGGTTGGAAGAACCCAAATCCTCCCACAGCTCCCCGCATGGATTTGCAACAAACAGTCACCAATCTCAGTGAACCATGCCGTAGTTGTGGACACACACTAGGTAACTACAGAGTCACTTACCATCCTCCACCAGAATCTTCTCTCACTGAGACCAAAATATATGGTTGACAGGAGGAGAGATTTCAAAATTGTGTCTACTACCATTAGCACAGATGTGCAGCAAACTGCCTAAGGAAATCTAGGATTTGAAATCCAGACATCTGAAAGTTTACAGCAGGTTGAAAAGCATTGCTGTAAAATGCTACTAGCCAGATGAGAGATTATCTGCTAGAACCATAACACAGAGCCAATAGCAGGGAAGTGAAAAGAGTAGGAAACTTTTTAAAGGTTGTAAAATCTTAATTTGATATTGGTTATTCCCATATATTTCATTCAGGGTTGGGCCTGATTGGGACCGCCAAAGACGTCTTTTGAATGTGTTTGAATATTAGTAGTTAGGGTAGGTAGTTAGGCTTTTGGTTTGAGCTCTGAGCTTGGCAATTTGGTTACAAACATTTCATCACCATTGGAGGAGACATCATCAGTGCGTTTCGAATTGTGCTCCTCTGTCAGAACACAGATCTTTAAATACTTTTGAAAGAACTGCATCAATCACAATCCCGAAGATAGCATTTAAAATGAATAGATACCTCACTATGCAGCAACAAAATTACAACCCATTGGTTCACAAGAAATCGGACCACATCTCAGTAACAACAGCCAGCCATTCAAACTACCCTGTTTTCCTGAAAATAAGGCCTCTCCAAATTGGGCTTTTGAGTGCATACACAAAAATAAGCCATCCCTAAAAATATTGCAACACAGCAGCCGCCATGAGATGACCTTGCTCGCTGCCTCCTGCATCTCAAAAATAATAAGACCTCCCCAAAAATAAGGCCAAGTGTTTATTTTGGGGCCAAAAGAAAATTAGACCCTGTCTTATTTTAGGGAAAACACGGTATCAAACAAGCCAAAATGAAACCGTGATTTAGAAACATCCAGATAACAACTCTAATCTTAATCTGCATCACACAGATGGTTCTTAACTACAGCCCAAAATCAGATCATGAAATATCCAAACATACAACTTTCAGACTAATTTGCATCGCATAAAAAGGTATATACAAGCCTGTGTTCTGACAGACAAGCACAATTCAAAACACACTAACGATGTCTCCTAGAATGGTGATGAAATCTTTGCAACCAAATTGCCAAGCTCAAACCAACAGCCTAATATCTTTGAATGGATTGCTTCTTTCAACAAGCAATATTCTCTTGTCAATTCTTGACATTGGTGAGAGCAGTTCGAGTTGGTTGTTAGATCAGCCATTTATCTTCTTATGCATTAGCTTACTATTCTTCAGCTACATACATTTTAGGATGTAGTTTTGAAAAGTTTGTAATCATAAACTTGAACTGATTGCATTGTGTTATAGAATGTGTTTTTCTTCCTTTGTTATGACTTTCTAGTTATAGGATTTTTTTTTTTTTGTTTGCCCTCCTATCCTGCTTATTTCTTGAAAAATACTACTTTAGGAGCACTGGGAAATCAGTTGGTGGTCACTGAGGGCTAAACACAAAGATAATAAAAATGAGAAAGGATCCATGGTAGGTAGGAAACAGCATTGTGCTTTTGGGGCAATGGAATTCTGGAAACGCCTGGTTTTGTTTATATACCTATTTTAGAGAAAAAACAATTAGATCACTCATTATTTTCTTTTAAGTTAAAACTTTCTGAACTTGTGTATGATATCAGATGGTCTTGTCATGTTAATTTTTTGTGTTATTTTTATTTGGCTTTTTAAGAATAATTCAAATACTTCAATACAATCTTCATAAAGAAAATTGAGTGTGTGTGTATGTGTATACATATGTGTGTGTGCGCACACATATGTATGCATATACATCCTTTCAATAATCTTCCAAGTTGGATAAAAAGGGAGGTGATAGTCTAAGCCAGAATCATAAGCCAAAAACTGATCTTGACTTAAAGTTCTGATCAGTTAGGAGAACAAGACTCCTGACTAAAGGGGGAAGTTGGGAAGCTATCAAACACTAGTATTTTTATTTTCAAAAATACCTTTGTGCTTAACATAAAATTCCAGTAAGCATTCTTAAAAATAAAAATGGTGGATGGGTGCAGTTTATTGTTTTAGATAAAATTGTATGCACCTTCCCAAGAAAGGAAGCAGAGAGATAAGATGTAATATCAGAAGCAATATCAGGCCTGATTTATGCAGCCATTCCATTTTATGATTGACCATGATCACCATGGCAATCATCTGTTTTCTTTGTCAGTTTTCTGTCACTTCTATCACTTTCATTAGACAAAGAAAAAAATTAATAGACAGAGAACCTCATTCATATTCCAACACAGTTCCTAGTTTAAAGAAGCTCAAAGCATGATCTGATTTTCTTGCCTACCTTTAGCTGACCATGTTTCTCATCTGGAGAATGTCTCTGAGGAAGAGATCAACCGTCTTCTGGGGATGGTGGTAGATGTGGAGAACCTCTTCATGTCTGTCCATAAAGAGGAAGACACAGACACCAAACAAGTATATTTCTACTTGTTCAAGGTGAGATAGGATTCTAGAGGGCTTCTTTGGGATAGAAGCCTCTCTGAGGTCAACTTATTCCAAATCAGCTATTTTTCATGGTTATGTCATTATTATGCAGATCAGTATTAAGAAGTGCCTTGCTAATATTATCTGCTCGCCTAGCGTGGTGGAGATACTTTGAATATGGACCAGATGATTATTTTTTTTAATAGCAGCTTCTATGCCGGCCTTTGACCTGACTTTATTGGGGCAACTAATTTTGTTTTACTTTTTGGCCCTCTAGTTTTCTTGTGCTGCATCACCCAGAGTCTGCTGATTGTACAAATCTGCCACTATTTAATATTATAAATAATTACTGAAATAAATAAAATGTCATTGAATTTAGCTTCTTAAATAAGTATGACTGTCTTGCATTTGTTCGGTAATGTTGGTTTCCTAGGGGGAAAAAAAGCTACCTGGAAGACTCCTGAAGTAGGGCTGAAAGACAAAAGGGAAACAATATGCTCCCTCTCAAGTTTGAATGGGTGCGCGTGTGTGTGTGTGTGTGCATGCGCTTAAAAAAGTATTGAAATCTATTGATACTTAAATACATTTTTTAAACTCAAGGAACTGAACAACTATGCATACAGCAAGGAGGTTTGTAATTTTTTTTTATAGAAAAATAAGGCACTGGATTTTTTTTCTGGAATTTTTGTCCTTCCCATGCAAATATATTAGAATGAGCTTTGTATTTGTTTAAGTTGTTTATTTATTTTCTCCTGGGCTCTTCCCCTTGACTTTTTTTTATTTTTATCCCCTTTTTGCTTGTTTCTTTGATGCAGGCAATGGTTGGCTTTAAATTACTTACGTACATGATAATTAGAATTTGCTGGAGAAATAATATGTGCTATTGAGATTGGATTTGCTTTTCTTTCTCTGAAGCTTCTAAGAAAATGCATTCTACAGATGAGTCGTCCAGTTGTCGAGGGCTCTCTTGGGAGTCCCCCCTTTGAGAAGCCAAACATTGAGCAGGTAAAATGCTGTATTTTTGCAGATGTAAGATGTTAGCCTGATGTTAAAGTCAAGTCTAATTCCCATTGCCATGAAGGGGAGGGGGGAACACAACAGGCATCATGAAGAAAGCATCTAGCCTTACAGTCTCAGTTGACATAAGCAAAAAACCCAGACACTTAAAAAAATAGTCAGTAAAAGTAGAAAATAAATGTAAATTGATGAGCTATATAATAATTTTGTCCTACTGCTAAAAATACCTGCTATTTCTGATTTTTACTTCCAGGGTGTCTTAAACTTTGTACAATATAAGTTCAGCCATCTACCTCCTAAGGAGCGACAGACCATGTTTGAGCTTTCTAAAATGTTTCTTCTTTGCTTAAACTACTGGAAGCTAGAAACACCATCCCAATTCCGCCAACGCTCCCAAAATGATGATGTGGCAACATACAAAGTCAACTACACGCGGTGAGCCTAGGGAACAAGAAAGAGGGGAGAGCAAAGGGAGAATAAAGCTATACTTCTTGTCACCATTTGCTTTAAGATCTAGTTTTTGTTCCACGTTTATATAATGGTGATTTGGGAGGGCTTTTAGCAAATGCAGAACGCTGCTCTTTTTTCCCTAGGAGGAAAAAAAATCCTTCAAACTCCAGAAACTGTTTTCTTTGTGTAATATAGAGACGAGGCACATTGGAACATTCTGATTTTGTTCAAGCACACGAGTTTATTGGGAGTGGTGGTTCAGGAAAACCTAGAAACCTGTTAATACAGGTAGCTCCTTGACTTAACAAAAGTCTCCCATTGACTGATTGTTAGAAAGTCACAAAAGATGGTCCCTTGACCTTGGGACATTGAAACCAGCATAAATATGTTGCCAAGCGTCTATAACAGGTAGTCCTCTAGTTACAGCCATTCATTTATTGACCATTCAAAGTTATAACAGCACTGAAAAAAATGGCTTCTGATCATTTTCCACATTTATAACCATTACAGTATCGCCATTGTCATTTGATCAAAATTCAGACACTTGGCAACTGATGGTTGCAATGTCATGTGATCACCTTTTGCGATTTTCTGACAAGCAAAGTCAGTGGGATTCACTTAGCAACCGTATTTCAAACCTAACAACTGCAGTAATTCCCTTGGCAAGAAAGATCATAAAATGGGGCAAAATTCACTTAACAATTATCTCATTTAGCAGCAGAAATGTTGAGCTCAAGTAGGATTGAGTTGAGGACTTTTTAAATCTACTCCCATCAGTCCCCAGTGGATATTATCAATTATAGAGTCATATTGTACTCTTCTGCCCTCAGATCTCTTACCTCAAACTAGTCTTTGCTTTTAATCAAGTGCAGATCGGCTAAAGGCTTTCTGGAATCCGAAACACGATCCTGGGTGCCTTAGATTCCTGCTTGCTTTTCCCTCTTACTACTCACATTTCATGATTTTCCAGGTGGTTGTGTTACTGCCATGTTCCTCAGAGCTGTGACAGTCTTCCACGTTACGAGACCACCCAGGTCTTTGGGCGCAATCTCCTCAAGTCCACTTTCACGGTTACTCGTAGGCAGCTACTTGAAAAATTCCGCGTGGAGAAAGATAAGCTGGTGCCAGAGAAACGTACCCTCATTCTCACTCACTTCCCCAAGTAAGATAAAAATTCAGAAAATGATAAGAGGCTGTGTAGGAAGGGAAGATAGAAAATACTTTTTTAGATGGATGAAGCCTAGCTCTTTTTGAGATGATCAATTAGTGCAGAACTGTGCTATTGTAGGTTGGAAGGGAAGGCGTATGCAGTAGTCACAGGGTTAATAATCTTTATGGATCCACTTTATTTTATTTTATTAGCTCTGTTAGATAGCTTTCATTCAATTAGATTAGCTTTGAAGGGCTTCCATAAAGCAGAAATTGGTTTTTTGTGTGTGTGTTCTGTCTGCATATGTAACAGGTGAGAAACCACTGACCTTACAGTTCCTGCTGAACTAAAGCTCCCAGCATTTCTCATCATTGGTCATTTTAATTATGGCTACTGGGAATTGTGATTCAACATCATCTGAAATACTTCAAATATCATGTTCCTGTCATATATAAGAGCCCAAGATTGCAATGTGCATTTTAGCCTCTTTTTTTTTCCTTTGCAAGCCAGCTATATAAAATAGAGTATGCTTACCTGCACTTTATAGTGGAGAGAAGGAAGAGGCATCGCAGCTTATAAAACCTATCCAGTGCTGGTTTTTGAAGTAAGATTTGAGATAGTGAATTAGGCACCATTGAGTTGAGTTCAGTTCTGTTTACTGTATGAATAAGTACTGACCTGTTTTTAATAATAAAGTAGGATTTGAATGCCAATAAGTTGACATTAATTTAATTGGATTACTGTGCTGATTTCTTTCCAATTCATATCCAGATTTTTGTCAATGTTGGAAGAAGAAATCTATGGGGAGAGCTCCCCCATCTGGGAAGCTGATTTCACTATGCCTGCAACTGAAGGGGCTCCACTTGTACCTCGGCCAGGTATGTAATATTCTTTTTAACTAAAGTGGTGCTTGTTGGTATAGCTGTAAAAGCTTATCAAACTGAAATCCTGCCATATAGTAAATTGAAATGCTCGTTTGTCTGCCTGAGTAAAGCCTCTGTGATTGACAGGCATTGTCTGAAATGACAGCCAGAGATACTCCGCAGTTCCAGTGATCTGGAGGTTGAAGTAAGGTTTGCATACAAAACAGCCCTTACTCCAAGGTGTTTGATTGTTGAGCTACAGTGTTTTATGTCCCTTCTTCTCCGATGAAGCATAACATACAAAAATAGTGTCATATTTATGGCAATTGTTCAACTCCTGCAGGTTTCAATTGTGTGAATAAGATTTCAAGAATCCTTCGGTTTCATCAATCTTCTTTTGCATAGAAAACAGGCATTAAAAAAAAAAAAACCATTGCAAACCAAGTAGCTGAGAGTGCAGGAAAATACATCTCACCATCCAAGAAACTGCTTTTAGTCATCTTGAATTCAAGACAGGAGAAGCACTGCCATTCCTAAAGAAGATCAATCAATTGAGATATGAGAATAGACAAGTTCCCCAATAGAAATTCATTATTATAGTTGACACACCTCTTCAAAGTTTTCTTCCTTTGGTAGTAGATTGCGATTTTATCCCTAGAAATAAATTAGAATTGAGGATGAATGACTAGTTGAAGAAAGAGGACAATGCATAGTTTGTTAGGGAGATTTTGATGAAATCTCCAATCAAAAATTAAATTGAAGGTAGAGCTCTGTCATCATGTTTGAGAGCCTGGAACAGTGGGGAGATTTTATAATGGCTTTATTGACCTTGCACAACTATGGACTTTGGCCACTGACTAGGAGTGAAATCAACTTACCGGTACCTTTGCTACCAGTTCGCAAATGTGAGCACACAGGAATTTCCCCGCATGCACAGAGCATCAAAAATGGGAGGTGATTATGTCTAGGCAAGTGGGTGGAGCCTCATGCCTCCACCGCTACTGGTTCCCCCAAACCAAATACAACCAGCTGAATTGCACTACTGCCACTAATCATTATTAGTTTTAAAGTAGTTATCAGTGTTTTATAAGTTGTGTGTTTAACTTGTTTTCATTAGATTTAACTTGTTTTATTAGATGGTTGTTTAACTTATTTTAATTAGATTGTTGTTCTGACTGTTGTGAGCTACCCAGTCACTTAGATGAGATGGGTGGCCATACAAATTTTTTTTAAAAAAAGCTTGATCTCGGGACCTTCATCAATTCATAATAAGATTGTTGCAAGCACTGCATTGGATAAATTCATGTGCCTTGCAGAAGGGATGGGATAAAAATGAAATAAGCTTTTGTGTGCAGAAGCTTGAGGAACTAAACAATCTCAATTGCGTCCGCAAGTCATAAAGCCTTCCTATTTTAATGCATACACTATTGCTGTCCCTTTGTCTTGTATAGCTATCAGCACTGTTCCTGCAGCTAGCACTCCTTTGTTCAACAAATCTCTGAGCTGCAGCTCATCTTTGACATCTATTAATCTGGATGGGAGCTCACTGGATTCTGTGCCAGGTAAACTCCTTATGAGCAGCAAGGGAATGCTGCTGAAAGAAAAGCTTAGTCCCTATCATTTGAATGAATTTTATTAAAAGTCTCTTTTCCTAAAGTGTACTGTTAAACTTGGAAGATTTTTTTATTCTTTTGTTTTTGTTTTAAAAGAGCATTTAAAAGAATATTTAAGTCCGAAGGCTTAAAAATATGGAACCAAATCCAGGCTAATGTCTAGCATGCATGGTTTCTATAAACTATGGCTTCACCTCCCACATGCATTACATTTAGTTCTGATATTTTTGTGTACTATAGTTTTTTTTTTCCTCCCTCCCACACAGGTGAGAAAAGGAAGCTTCCGGAAAGTTTGACCCTTGAGGATGCAAAGAGAATTCGTGTGTTAGGTGATATTCCAATGGAGCTTGTGAATGAAGTGATGCTGACCATTACTGATCCAGCAGCAATGCTAGGGCCTGAGGTATAATTAGTTAATTGTCCCCATTTTTAATTGCACCATAAAACACTGCAAAATCAGTTTTCAGTAGCTGCCCCGCATATTGCATTGTGCAAATTAGAGAATGTATTGCCAGATCTGTATTTTTTCCAGCCCCTATGCAGGGGTGGGATTCAAAAATTTTAGCAACCGGTTCTCTGCCCAGTGGCTGGGTGGGAGTGGCCATGGTGTGCATGGCCTATTCGGCCTCCTGCACCGCGGGGGGAGGGGAGGCTTTTTGCTCTCCCCAGGCTTCAGAGGCTTTTCTTGCGCCTCCAGGAGGGTGAAAATGGCCTCCCCAGGGCAAGGTGGGCAGGGCTAGCCAGTTCTTGCAACTACCGGTTCGGCAAACCAGATATAAAATTAGCATCCTGTTCGCCAGAACTGACTGAATCCCACCCCTGCCCCTCTGCCAGGATCTTATTCCCAAAAAATTTTTTTTTGCTTTTTATCAAAAATATAACAGACACCCCAGTTTAATTAAGTCTGCTAAATGGAGGTCTGCTAACTCACGGTTTTAATTTTAAAGGTTTTAACATTTTTAAAAAAAATTAAGATTATCTATAGATTTAGAAGGATAAAAGTAATCCATATAGGGGATGAAATCTCCCCTATTCCAATAAATGTCAGTCTACCTTTGACTCTATATTTTGGGCATTGCCTTTAATTCTTTTCTTTTTTTACCAGAATGTTTCTTTTGCTTGCAGACTAGTCTCTTGTCAGCAAATGCAGCCCGGGATGAGACAGCCCGCCTAGAGGAACGGCGTGGCATCATCGAATTCCATGTCATTGGCAACTCACTTTCTCAGAAATCAAACAAGAAGATTCTCATGTGGCTGGTTGGGCTGCAGAATGTTTTTTCACATCAGCTGCCTCGAATGCCCAAGGAATACATCACCCGCTTGGTTTTTGACCCGTAGGTTTGGGATTGCTATTAGAAAGAGTGGAGGTTGTGCCTTGGGTATCATGTGAACAAACAAAATGTTTAAACGTTAATGATATTTTGTAGTTATTTACAAAGCACATTTAAATTATTTTAAAGTAATCAAAATATATTTATTATCTCCAAGGCTTTTGAGCACCCTAATGTTTGGAAATAGAAAGTTGAAAAATTTGGCATGCCCTAGTAAGTTCATGTACATGGTAGCCATAAACTCTTGAGTCCCTGGAATTAGGGTGATTGTACCAGTTGTGCGTTGCAGGAAGTACGACCCAGTATGAGTGTACCGGAGCCAGCCCAGAGCACCGGATAGCGTTCCGGTACGGTGCTCCGGAGGGCCCACCTATGCTCCTTACTGGTGTTTGAAGGCTTCCGCGCAGGCGCATGGCGCGTTCAACACATGCACGACGCTCCGCAGAGCAGCTGGTGTGTTGCGGAGGCGATAAGATGCAAGCGTTCGCTGCGCACTGTGTGTGTCCATAAGGACACCACAGGCTTCGTTCCAACTGTACTGGTTGGAATGGGATTTGCAACCCACCACTGGATTGTACATAAACTAGTTCTAATAGGTTGAGGATAAAGGCTTATAAATGAATGAGGAATTGGTTGTCTGAATAAATAAAGAAATAATCAAGGGGATCTTGGAATCAAGATAGGGTATAAAATGTTTTCCCTATCCATATTTAGTATTTAAAATGTTTCTCCTTTGAAAAATATACAGCTTTGCTTTATCTCTCTAGCCCTCTGTCATGTATTGAACCCTATTTTCTGTAATTACATTAACCTTTTAGTAAACAGGATATACAGTAGAGCTTTAGATTACGTTATTTATTCTCTGCAAAACATTTTGTGAATTACATCTTGGTGAGCTGGAACCCCGATACTATCTGTTGGGAAGGCATTGGTTCCTTTGTAAAATGGTTGCAGTGAGAGACCCAACTGTCCTAATCAAGTCCTAATTCTGTTTGCTGCAACTTTAGCTCCATTGCACATACAGGTAGTCCTTGTCTTACAGTATTTTATTTAGTGACTGTTTGAAGTTACAGTGGCGCAGAAAAAAGTGACATGACTGTTTTCACACATGTGACCTTTGCAGCAACCCTGTGGTCACGTGATCAAAATTCAGACACTTGACAACTGACTCTTGTCCTGGGGTCATGTGATCCCTTTTTGCAACCTTATGACAAGCAAAGTCAAGGAGGAAGCCGGATTCACTTAACAACCATGTTACTAACTTAACAACTGCAGTGATTCACTTAATAACTGGGAAGAAAAGTCATAAAATGGAGCAAAATTCATTTAACAAATGTCTCACTTAGCAACAGAAATTTGGGGCTCAGTTGTGGTCGTAAGTTGAGGACTATCTGTATTCTTACAGACTTTCTTTTCACTGACCAAATGGGCATGCTTCCAAATGAAGTATTGGACTGCAGCCACCTGACACGATTATTATTTCATTTCAGTCAGCCAGATGTTCAGACTGGATCTGACATTTTTGCCTGCCTATTGAGTCCTTTCCAAGGATCTAGGGTAGGCAGATGTGGATCTTTGGTGATTTGCAAGTCTTTGTATTTTTCTTGTTATCTTCTCCAGTTCTTTCTCTTCTATGCTGCTGTTTCAGGTACTACCGTGTCCTCTATCCAGACTTTTTTTGTCTTTCTTATCAACAACTGTTAAGCCTGGAGGGTTACGTGGCAGGCACCTGTCTGTCCCAGACTACTTTAAGGTCTTCATTTTTTGTTACTTCCTCTCTTTTATGGTCCCACTTTATGATCTTGCAGGCAAACAGTATTTCTTGCAGCTCTTCCAATGCATCATTGTGGCTACTTTGTCATGCCATTGTTTGTAGTCTTGCAGCAGCTAACCAAGTGGGCCATTGTTTCCTCAACTTCTTTGCAGAAGTGGCACTTGGTATCTGTCACAGTCTTCTCAATTCTGGCTTTGTATATATTTGTTCTTGAGTGGCTGTGTGCAGTCAAAATTAGCCCCTCTATACTTTTCTTCTGCTTTCCTGCTTTTAGCCGTTTCCAGGCCTTGTTATTATCTGCTTTGCCTGCTACTTTTTTTGATGTATTGGTTATGTCATACTTTGTCTCCCCATCTCTCTTTTTTGTTCTTTATTTGGTATTTCTAGTAGACCTATTTACTAAGCCTTCCTGGTATACTAGCTTTAATGCATTCTCTTCACTGTCCTACATATATTCTTCCAATCATTTTTTTTTCTTTTTAAACTGTCTGATGTAGTCTACACCCACCTATTTTTCTGGGTAAAGTACACTTTGTCAGTGTCACTCGGAATTTGAAAAGCATGATTCATTTTCATTATTTTTCTAGTCTTTCTATACAGGGCTTTTAGTTCTGCTTGAGTGCAGTCTGCTTTTCCAATGCCTGGAATTGCCCAAGTGATAATTGCCTTGATAGTATTTCCTCTCCTGAGTTTGGAAGTTTAAGGTCATCTTTATTCCATGATACATTTATTTCTAAACTTTTTCTTAACTTCTGTGTGCTTGATGTTGTCAACTTGAAGGATGCCCAGCTATTTGTAGCGATCATCTTCATCTAGACTCTTGATGTTATTTGCACCTTGATTCCTTCAGTTTTCATTCTTTTATAGGATTTGATGTGCCACACTCACTGTTTGATGGCACATTTGTCCAGTCCAAATTCTGTTGCAATAGCTTGACTGTATATATGGATAGTGTTGAGCAGCGATTCTATTTCAGATTTGTTTTTTCATACAATTTCCATGTAAAGGAGGTGGGATAACTTGAACTGAGTTATTCAGCATTCTTGACAAAGGAATCAGTGAAATGACACACAATAGTGATGATAGTGAGTTTCCTTGGAAGAGCCGTCTCTTGATATTAATCTCTCCCAATCTATCTCCATTGTCTAGCAACCATTTCTCCCATTGTGCCATCTATCTTTGCACAAAGCTTCTGATGTTTCTGTTGAGTCCTGTTATTTCTAGGCAGTTGATTATCCAATCATGTGGCTCAGATGCCTTCTTGTAATCAGTCTATGGTTCTTTCAAATTGGCCTTCCTTGTCTTGTAGTTTTCCGAAATAATCTTGCAGATTAAGAATTGGTCTTTTATTCCTCTGCTGTTTGGGCAGTTTCCTTTCTGCTTAGGTTGACAAAACTTGTTTTCACCTAGATGCTGTTGAACTGCATCAATTACCACACCAGTTAGCAATTTGAAAATTATTGGTAAAGTAATTTGCCTATAGTTGCCTGAAGCTGCCTCTTTTGATGGGTTTTTCATTATCAACTAGGTTTTGCTACAATTTAGCCATTCTTCAATTTCATCTCCTTGCAGCATATTGATAAACTGCTTGGCAACAAGTGGATATAGACTAGTCAGATGTTTCAATCAAAATCCATGCACTTCATCTTCACCAATTCTTGATCTTCCTTGCCCTTTTTTCCACCATTTCTGCTGTTATTACAAGAGGCAGATGAGTGGATGCCTGGTTTCTGAATAAAAATAATTATATAGCTGTGCTGGCTTCCTCTACCGCCAATTCTCCCTGATTTGCCTCTGTAATCTGAGTTATATCTGTCAAGGCTTTGATTTCTTTGCCCTTTGCAATTCTTTCAATTCTGCTTCTGTGACTATTTTATTTAGTATTATAAATGGATGTTAACCTCTGTTTTGTTATTTCTGATTTGAGATGTTGTTTTTTTTCCAGAACGGAAGCATTTGTTTCAAATATCCTCTTCTTATTGGACTTCATATGTAATAACAGATCACTATTTATTTGTTTTCAATTACTATATATTTGCAATGGGTAAACACCTTTCCTTCCACTGTAGCTAAATGTCTATGGAGATTCTCAGTCATCCAGGTCATGGTTGTCCCAAAGGTGCTTTTTTCCAAAGGCAACTGGACTTTCTGGTTTTTCTTTGAAGACGTTTCACTTCTCATCCAAGAAGCGAAAGAAGCTTCTTAGATGAGAAATTAAAGAAGAAGCTAAAGAAGCTTCTTAGATGAGAAATTAAACATCTTCAAAGAAAAACTAGAAAGTCCAGTTGCCTCTTGAAAAAAGCACTTTTGGGTTTCCTTACTATAGTCTTGTGCTGATAGTTTGGCCCTAGTTGCTCAGCCAACAGTCCTGAATTCTGTAACCCATTTTTCACCAGATATCCAGGTACTCCAACAATTCTAGTGCAATATTTGATGTGGCAACCAAAACAATATGTGTTTCTCTAATTTACATCTCAATATATTTTTATGGGGGAGGCCCTTTTTGTCTGACTCCTTTGAAGAGATCTGTCCAGTATGGCTCAACCTCTGGCATAGTTGTCATCTTCCTGAGAGCACACAAGACCACAACCACATCAATGCCTCAACAAAGGATGTTATTATGATTAGTCTCACAATCAACCAGAAGTTTAACTTAGATTTGATGTTTATCAAGTCCTTCCCAAGGACTCGTGTAGGCAGATGTCGTTTGATTGTGTTAAAGGTATGGAAGCTGGATTTAAGCTGCTCCAAGGAAATTTTGCAATTGACTGATGGTGATTTTGTCAGTGCCAGGGATGTTCCTGGTATTTTGAGATTGCACACAAGTGCTTATTCCTATTGGTACAAGCCTTTTACTTTTCATATTTCATTATTTTTCTCTATTGGTAATGTATTATAATTGTCCACTTCCGTGGACTGTGGGTGGCTGACTAATAAAAATGCCAAATAATAAAAGCTGTTAAAAATATACAACACTACAGGCACTCTGGACTAAAACAACGAAGGCCCCATGAACATATTAGTCTGAGGCTTGAGATCAAAAGCAGGTCTTGTGTGCTCTGAGGAACACCAAAAGAGAGATAATAGTCTATGTCTTTGGGGAAATGTTGTTTATATTCTAACAAAGTATAAGGAGCCCACTTGGGGTTTAAAGGTATTGTTGAAAAAAACATAGTCCTGGAAATGGATCGATGCAAAACTCTCAACTTCCTGGTTTTGAAAGCCTTTTTTGTTTTAAATGTAAGACGTAAGGTAGAGGAGGAAGCATGGCAGTTCAGTAAGTGAGAGATCTGTGGAAATAGTGGTGATCCAAGGTGACACAAAGACTCCCAGAAAGAAATGGTTGCAGCTGGGAAATAAGTTCTATGTCAGCTAGAATTGTTAATGAAACTAATTCAGGTTTATAATAGGGTAAATGGTTGGGCACTGCTGTATTCCCCTCATACTTCTCAAAAGGATGAAGCAGGGGTGTCATTCTCAGTTGTACTCCTCTCTCTTTCCAATACAAGCTTCTCTTTCTGCTGCTTATTTTCTTGACAGCAAGCACAAGACTCTGGCGTTAATCAAGGATGGTCGAGTGATTGGAGGGATCTGCTTTCGGATGTTCCCAACACAAGGATTCACTGAGATTGTCTTCTGTGCTGTCACATCTAATGAGCAAGTCAAGGTAGGGTTGTTTTGAGATGCCTATGACATTCTTCAGGGTTTAAAACAGGTTCTAAACTAGTAGTTGAGGGTCAGCTACTATCAGCTGGGTTTCTTCCAACCAATCATACAAGGAACTCTCATTGTTTATATCAGTGATACAAAGTTCAGAATAGGGCAGAGAAAACTAGCTCCAATTTTGTTTTCTAATTTCAAAAGACCAAACTATGAAGAGGTGACACTTATTGGTTGTTTTTAAATATAACAGCATCCTTACTTGCCCAACTGGCTTATGGGAGGTGCTAAAATCTTCATAGGCTTTTCAGTGCATTTGTACTGCATTTGGACATTGCAGCAGAGACTCAGGATTTACTCTCAATGGATTAACTTTTTTTTTAAGTGGCAGTACTAGAAACTCAATGCCTTCTGACTCGGACTTCAAACTGGGTTTGAAAAATGTGCAACAAGGTAGAACTAGAAGAAGCAGGATGTTCAAGTCATAGGAAGTGGGGAGCCATAGAGGATGTAACTGAGGAATGGGAGGCAGCAAATGAATGGAGAGCAAGAGTGTAAAAATATTTAGAGGTATAAAAAACAATTAGAAGCTGATGTAGTTTTAAATGCTGCGTGGGAAACAATATGAGTTTCCTTTTACAATTAATATTCAAGGCAGGAAAAGGATACATTCAAAGGCATTTTTGCACTATCTGGAATAAGTCACATTTAATTCTCTGACATTTTCTTCAGATGGTGTTGCAATGCCTCTCCCGTGCTTCTCAAAAGAATCAAATAAAACACACTGGCATGGATCCAGTACTTATTATCTTCAATTGTGCAGAGTAGTTCATAGAGTTAGACTAGACTTAGACAGTGTTGGGTAGTTGGTATTTGTATCAGGAACGCAGGCATTCTCTTAAGAGCATTGGGCAAACCATCATCATGTTAAGTGTAATATGAGGCTGTGGAACAAAGTATGTTATTTGAACAGATTAGTTATTTTTTTGTTAAACTTGGAGTAGGATTTGTTAAACTTGGAATAGCAATTTTTCTGTAGCAACTTTTGACACTTTTGGTAATTCCTTTCGAGAAGTCAATCATCCTTGCTTCACCTTTTCCATATTAAAACCTTTTGTAATTGTTGTTATTGCTAACTATATTTATTGCCTCATATTTCTATACAGGATATTATTCACCTCAGAATTAACTTCTATGTGATTGCAAATCACATCACATCACATAAATTAGCCTCCTTTATGAATTTTCAGATACCGAAGTAGAGGATCTGAGTTTGGGCCTAGTCTTAAATATTTACTCAGTTAAGACACCAGTTTGCTTCATAGAGTAGTTGTGAGACCAAAAGGTTGGAAAAATCAGGTAGGTTGTCTTGCGCTCTAGAAGGAAAGATAGAATATAAATGCAAAGATAGAAAGAGGATCATTCCCAGATTTTGTCCTGATTATTTCCCCCCTTTTTCTTCTTCATTTCTTTGAAGGGCTATGGGACTCACCTTATGAATCACCTGAAGGAGTACCACATCAAACACAGCATCCTCTACTTTCTCACCTATGCAGATGAATATGCCATTGGCTATTTCAAAAAGCAGGTACCACACCATTATTGCTGAATTCTATTCAGAACTGGCTTTTGGTTTAGCTATAGGGGGACACATTTGTAAAAGGGCCTTGTTCTCCTCCTAAGCCTATGGACATAATTGCTAATACAGCTGCATTCACATGTCATGTTAAATATATTAGGTCACATTAAATGGTTTATTTATTGGTACTATATATCATGTTTAAAAAGTACAAATTTTCCTCAGAGAGTGACTCTGTGCCACATACAAATAAACAAGTAGTTACGTTTTATAAAATAGTAAATGTAACAGGCACAAGGAGCCATAAGCTTTCCATGCTTTCTTTCTTTACACCTGTATGCATAGGGAAGGAGATTTCTTTTCCACTTTTGCATCACCACATCTTTGCTCTTACTTCAACCTATGAACATCTGAGGATAAGTAATATATAAAATGGGCTTGAGTTTCAGCCAGAACTAATCCCAATTGCTCAGAGTTTCAGAAATGCAACTTTATGGATCTGCACTTAAAGCTCATTGTTTTTTACAAGATATAAAAATGTTTTAGCCATAAATTTGTGGCTAGCATGATCTCTAAAGCAGGCCTTAATTTATCTCATTGTAGAAATATTTATTTGAGGAAATAATTTTAATTGAAGTTTTTGTATTACTTTACAAAGGTGATTTATATAAATTGGATTCTAAATTGGTGACATTCATTTAAAACAAGTGGGGTAGTTAGATGCATATATATCAGCCTTCCCCAATCTAGTATTCTTCAGTTATTTTGAACTATAGTCCCTATAATCCCCCACCACTTTGGCTAGGAATTATGGTATTAACATTATCATATGACTAAGAATCATTAAATGGGATAAAGCCAATGTGTCTAATTTTTTTTCTTCTTAAATGTGTCTAAAACCTGGGTCCCTAACCCTTGGGTTCAGCCTGATATCGTGCCATAGCCAAGTGGCAGGCAAGTGCGTGAAACATTCCACTCCCTCCCCGTGCTGCTACTGCCGTTACCTGTCCACAGAGCCAGAAAGGTTGGAGACTGATTGTCTAAAAGATATGGTTCACTATTATACAATTCTGTAATGTAAGTGTAGCTTCCATGAACCCCTCACCCCCCCTCAATACATTCTTGAATACAATGAGGAAAATGAGCTGGATCCATACTTTAGGCAGCAAGAAAGAGATGAAGCACCTTTTCAGAATAGGTCAGTTATATTTCTCACTGCTGAATTACATTTAGCTTATTTTGGAGAATGAATAAGTCTCTTCTCTGTGGCATTCAGGGGTTTTCAAAAGATATCAAGGTCCCTAAGAGCCGCTACCTTGGCTACATCAAGGACTATGAAGGAGCCACCCTGATGGAATGTGAGCTAAATCCTCGGATCCCTTACACGGAGCTTTCACATATTATCAAGAAGCAGAAGGAGGTGAGGGGCTGGGGTGGAAGAAGGGGATATCTTTGCTTGAACCATTTCTTTATTCTTGTTAACTATGTATGGACCATCTTTATTAGTAATTCACACTGCTGAATACCTCTCTCTCTCTTCCTCCCTCCCCCTCTCTCAGGGACATATGCAAATTTGGCTTTGACTTTGGGTGCTGAATATTCCCTAATGATTGCCTTTCTCTCTGTATAGTCCTAAATAGCCTCATCCATTTTTTCCTCGATTAAGTCTTTAGGGATATAATCAATCATATTCCTTTCTGTATCTTATCTATACTTCCCTAAAATTTCTGCCTCTCCCTTTTATTCCACATGCAACACACACAAACATTTACGTGCTGATCTGTGTTGGGATTTTTCAAAACTTATGTATTTTTCTTCTATGGAAAACACGTTCTGCAGAGTTAAGCGACACATAACTGACACAGACTTACTCTTGTGGTAAGAATTTGGCTCTCCTCCCTCAGTAAAGGAAAGGTTTCTGTTCCACTTTGCACATGTTCCATAGGAAGAGGTAATGTTCATAACTGCTCTCTTTGAATCTTCCCATAGGGGAGGCCTTCCTGCCTATGACAGTCTATCATGTTTTTGTAGGCATAGTTGAATTCCATTTTTCATAAATTTTTCAGCCAACATAGCCGGTAATCATGCATGGTTGATGCTGCACAATAATCCTCTCTATTCTTCCTCTCAGATTCAGCTTCTCCCTGTTTGCCTGCCTGCCTTTTCAACTTTTTCCTAACACCTTGACACTGCTCGGCTTGAAGGCTGAACTAGGAATTGGCCAGGAAGTAGATTCCTAGCTGCACGTATGCCTGCTCTGTCTAAGAGATGCTTAGCCTGTTTCATTGCCCTGATTTTGCAGAAGCATCCAGGGATGACAATGCAAGTCATGACAGTTTCTGGTTCTTCCCACAGATCATCAAGAAGTTGATAGAGAGAAAACAAGCACAGATCCGTAAAGTCTACCCTGGCCTCACTTGTTTTAAAGAGGGAGTTCGACATATCCCGGTTGAAAGCATCCCAGGCATCCGTGAGTTGAGCAAGGCTTATACCTGGGGGAACAGGTGTGATTATGCATTCAGTGAACGTTAATAAAGCCAGAAGAAGAATTGACATGATTTTAGCCCTGTCCTCTTCCCACATTCGATCCTTCTGCTGTGTTTGCTCCTAATCTCTTAGGAAGCAGAGGAAGGAAACTGTTAATGATTTACGGCAGGGGAGGATTAGGTCCAGATTCAGATTTATGTGTCTGACACAAAGAATAGGTATTTATCCAAAACTTTTCTCTTGCTTGCTTTTGTGTCCTGTATTTTCTTTATCCCAATTAGCACTAGTAATAAATGAACTGCCTTTAAAAAAAAAACAAATTAGCTCTGTCCATGTGTTTACAATAAGTGATATTTTTTCTCTCTCTTCCAGGGGAAACAGGATGGAAGCCTCTGAATAAAGAAAAAGGGTAAGCCAGGTGGCACTTTATGTTCTTTTCTCACCCACACATATCCCTAAAACGTTTCTGCTTGTTTTTTTTAACATATTAGTCTTCCTTAATGAGTTTGGTAGAGGACAATTAATATAGAGCAGGCAAATGTCACCAAATTCTCTAAAAGTTCTTTTCTCTGTGGAATGATGTAATAAGACAAAAAGGGGCATCACCAGGGAGGACTAGCTTTTTCAAATCTATATAAAGAACAGCTAATGATTTAATGCTTACTGCCTGAGGCATTCGAGGTAGTAAATCCATTTACTTTAGAAATTAAATTAAATTTTAAATGATGATGATTGGTCACATAGTCAGCCAGATGTTTAGACTGATTTGACATTTATCCACCTGTGGAGTCTTTCTCAAAGACTTATGTTTATTATTGCAATTACTTTTATCCTCTCCCTCTTATCTCTCCCCCTCTCTCTCCCACACATATACGCACATATTCCTTTCCCCTCCTATTTTCACAACAACTCTGTGAAGTGAGTTGAAGTGGGAGAGTGATTGGCCTAAACTAAAGTTACTCAGTTGGTTTTCAGGTCTATGCAGGCCTAGAACTCACAGTCACCTGGTTTCTAGATCAGCCATTCAATCATGATGCCAGATGGTAAAATGGACAACTTTTTTATGCTAATACTTTGATTCTGGCACCAACAAATTTGTCAGAATTAACAGCATTCTGCTTGAAAAGTTTGCTGTTCTTGGTATAGCTTCTTTTAGCTTTTCATGAATGTCTTTCAAAATGTCTTCCTCAAACTGAAGCTCTTTAAATATGTTGCTACATTAAACCATAGGTTCATCCAGAAGCTATTATGATCTTATAAAAGTTGGTGTAATCTTCACTTTTCTAGAGGGCATCCAGTTGCAGTTGGCTTGGTCCTTTTTAGATTATGCAGATTTCTTTATAATACTCTGTAGCTCTTGCAATTTCTAATATTTTCATCACCCAAATCACCACCACTCTTGTTTTAAAAAAAATCCTTCCAGAAAGGAGCTCAAGGATCCAGACCAGTTGTATACTACTTTGAAAAATCTTCTTGCCCAAATCAAGGTAAGCGGGATTCCAGGATCACTTGGAGTATAAATAGGAACTTTTCTCTAATACAAGAGCTACAGTCAAAATGAAGTGTAGTTACTCAATGATGTGGTGTCTAGACGAGTAAAGCTTGCCAAACCTTTCCTGAAAATTTTGCCCTGATCTGTGAACAGTGTAGACAGAAGTAGATTTTGAATAAAGGTAGTCCTCAGTTAATGACTGTTTGTTCAGAGATTGTTGGAAGTTAAAATCAGCCCTGAATGAGTGGTACTTATGACTGATCCTCAAGGTTCCAGCTGTCACACAGTCCCTTGGCTTCCCACAAGTAAAGTCAGTGGGGAAGCCGGCAGGAAAAGTCACAAATCAGTTCCTTTCCTGGCAGCAGCCGGCCCCAGTCCTGTTTCACTAGCATTGTGCCAGCGACCTACACAACTTTGTGTACCAACCCCTACATGGTAGCAGCCATTGATTTGCCCTCTGGCCTGCTTGCAAATCACATGGGGCTTTCAACTTCTTCCTGGCTTCCACACTGACTTGCATTGTTAGAAGCTGCCAGGAAAATGCAAGAAGATCCTTGTTTAATGACCTGCAATTATTGCTTAACAACATACTTAGGATTGACATTGCTAAGCAATGAAGTCACATGATATCTCACATTACAATCACATCTCTTAATTATGGAAATTCCAGTTAGTCGTTAATCAAGGACTACCTGTAGCTATTTTAATTTTTTTTTAAGTACAAGCAGAATATATATTAATTGATTACAGTACAAATAGATAAAAGGCCAATATATGTTAGGGAAAGCAAAACATCTAAACAGTGGTAACAAACCACTGAGAATAACCTTGGGTCAGATTTTTAGTGAAACAGTTCTTTGTTTAGCAAAAAGTTAAACTAAAATATTTAGAATGTGAAAAGTATATTTCTGGCAGAAAACTTTCTTTCTGCCAGAAATACCTTCCCTTTCTCCATTTTTCCTTTACCCATCCAACAGCAGACCACTTCTATATCTCAAAAACCTACATGCTACATTATGAATTCTGACTGATTTTAGTAAGGTGTGGTTTTAGTTTCTGTTTTTTTTAAAAAAAAAAATTATTACTCAAGTTGCTGCCTGTCTATTCCTATCAGACCCATCCTAGTGCATGGCCATTTATGGAACCCGTGAAGAAATCCGAAGCTCCTGACTACTATGAGATAATTCGCTTTCCCATTGGTAGGTAGCTAGATCTGGATTTTGCCTGAAGAAGTCATCAGCTCTGTTGAATAAAAAAAATTACGGGTACAGTCAGTATATGCAGCTGTTGTGGAAAAAAATCTTATTTAAATGGTTGGAACGTAATCACTCATTGGATTATATTAATGTTATAGAACTGGGGGAGATTTTCTTCCATTGGTCAATTTTGATATCCATTATCTTCTTTTCCATAGACAACCAAAAAGATTTGCAATATTAAGTGTTACACTATTATAGCACAAATTAGGAGTGGGAAAACATTTTGGGTCAAATGAAAGGTGTTGAGGACATCAGGAGGTGGAAACCCTGTTATGTGTGTAAGAAAAGTTGAAATATTTTAATTATCTGGGTGGGACATTTGGAGTGGATGGATAATTTTTAACTGTGTTCAGTAAACTTTATGGTTTATGCAAAAGTTTGAGCAAGAGAATAGTGGATGGTAAGTTACTGATTTTTTTGCAAGTGTGCCATTGAAATCAATTTAGGCTATCAGTGGGAAACACAGATTGCCAAATGGGTCAGCTTTTTATGCTCCACTTCAAGCCAATGTTATTAATAACACTTATTTATAGGAACTTATTATAAAGAAGTTCATCTTAAAACAGTTACTGGCTTTATGTTTTTCACAGGTGAGCAAAGCCGCCTTTTGGAAATGTTTTACTGGCAGTTTCTACAAATTTTCTTAAAACTGAGTTTACCTTCAGCCATTTAATTCTAATTGCATTTACACTAACTCATGAAGAGAACTCATTTACACTAATTCATGAATATAATTCTAGAAGACTTTGTAGCTTGCTCTTACATGCTTCTTCCCATGTGTCTTTCCTCCTTTTCATTATTTTTTAGGATAGTTGAGTGAGCCGCTTATAAAGTCAGAAAGGCATATGCATTTTTGCATTGTCTCTTGTACAATTGATCACATCTCTCCCTTCCACCTACTTCTTCTGCAGACCTGAAGACGATGACAGAAAGGCTCAAGAATCGTTATTACATTACCAAGAAGCTCTTTATTGCTGACTTGCAGCGTGTCATTACCAACTGTCGTGAATATAACCCTCCTGAGAGTGACTACTGTAAGTGTGCCAACACCCTGGAGAAGTTTTTTTATTTCAAGCTGAAGGAAGGAGGACTCATTGACAAGTAAGGACAGTTGCTGGCTGCCAGGGGTTTCATCTCCATTTTATCAGCCCCTCTCCAGCTTTTGAACAACTGGACATTTTTCTTGCTGCCTTTTGTCACACTTCACGCACAAGTAGATGTGACTGGTTGGACATCAGAAGTTTGCTTATTATTGGGAAAAGGAAGAGACAATATGCAGAGATATCTCTTTTCCTGAATAGACTGAGATCTGCCATCAGTCTCTTAATTTCTGAGCCTGATCTCTCTATCTGTTGCACTTGCCTTTCCAGAAGGACATAACTCTTTTTACCACGGAAGGAGTCTGGATTGTCACAGAAGCTATGAGGGATTCACTGCAAGTTCTTCCAGTTTTCCATTTCTTTAGTTTCCTTTGTCCCAAACTCTGGAACAGTTTCCCCAAAATTGGTCTTTTCCATCTGTATTGTGCTTAAGTTATCATTCTCTCCTCAGCTAGAATGTATTGAAGAACATCTATAGAGCACAAGAAGATCCCGGAAATTTTCCAAAGTTGATCCAGATAATTCAATTTATTTGTTGCACTTTTTTGAGGTTCTGCCATTACTTTTTTTTGACATGTGAATGTAGGAAAGGAGTAGTCAAGAGAAAGCTGGAGGACGAAAACTTGTGGAGATTTTAAGTATAGAGTTTTTTAAAGAAACTTTGATTGGGACCATGTCTGAAGCCCATTCATTCTTTTAGCCAGTTCACAAGTGACTAATCCTTGAATGTTGTTTATAGGAAAAGAACTTTTGTATTTTAGGTTGAATCAGATCTGACTTCAAGGAAAAGAAATTACAGGAAGGAATTAAAAAGATAATAGCTCTCTGCTATTTTTTTCCTTTTACTTTGTCTTCTCTTTTAATCTAATGGATTCTGGGTCATTAATCTTTACCCCTGCAGAATTGTTCAAATATCTGAATGAAACTTCACTCTCTCCTAGAGAATGGTGATACATTTAAGATTACTTCCTCATATACCAAATGAAAATGAGCAAATTTGTGTCCCTTCTGTATACTGTATATTGTTGTTATAAAATATGATCCATTCCTTATTACGTTTCTTCGGTACTTAACTGGTCATACCATCTCTAGTCTGGAAGCTGAGTCTAAGGGTTGTAACTCTTATAGTTTTGAATTCTGCCTTCATTGGTTATGATTTTTCAAGCCTCTCCATCTCTGGTGCTTTTCTGATTATGTCAGCGACAATGGTGATTGTATTACTCTCTCACACACATTCCCATTATGCACTTTGCTGCACATAATTCTGTGAGTATCGGCCATCTATGTTATCTTAAAAGATATTAGGAGAGATGTTATTGTTTCATTTATGGCAGCCAGTTTTACTGCTAATGAGATATTTTTAAACTCCCACATTGTTGATCAATTATGGTTAAATTCCATGATGATAGGCACATACATACTAATATATGTACTACTGTGTTATGGAACAGAGCTAAAAATACACATAAAAAATTATTTTTCAATTGAAAAAAACCTATTATTTCTGGTTATTCTTCCTTTTACATGGAGTAAGTTGATGAGAACACTTACTATTCAAGAATTACCATCTGTCACATATGGCGCCATGTTAAGTTTTAAAAGATTGCCTTGGAGGGTAATGAAGGTTTTTAGTAGTTAGCATTAAATGGGAAGTACAGGTTGTCTGTAAACAGTGTCTGCTTTTTTCAAAACTTTCTAAGGCAAGGGAACAGAAGGGCGAAAAATGGTGAGCAAAGTTAGAGTACAAATGACTCTCATTCAATTACCACTTACTTTGTTTTCTGTTTTGTGAATTGCCTTTGCCTTTGGAAATAACTAAATACTTGCTCTAAAAGTCATAATTTAGTAAAAGCAGCACAATAAATAACATCTTGTTCACAATTATCCAGGTGCTTCTGTCAATGTTGAACATTTTGTTTCAGCCATAGACGCCAAAGAAGTTGCCATGGAGATTAAATCAAATGCTTTTCTCTAATCCATCTTCAGCACATGGACCTCTTTCCTTTTCCTTCCTTTTATAAGAAAAAGAATTGCTTTGTGTGCTTCTTTCGGGAATCATGGGGGGGGAGGGGGGGAGAGAGGAAAGCTTTTCAATGGTTAGCCACCTACCTTTTCTCTCTGTTGCCTTATGTCCACCACTTTTGTGATTGAGTTGTACAATTGCAGGACCTGATTCTTCCATTCTGGCCTTCCAATATATTGCCATTCCATTTTTAATACATGAAATAAAGATATAGGACATATCTAAGCAAAGAAAGTGTGTTCTTTTCTTTCATGCTTATTCCTATTTTAAGAAATACTTACGTTATTGTTACTATTATTATTACTTGGCTTATTAACTGGTTTAAATGCTTTTAGTAGCTCTTTGATTTTGGGTAGCAGGATTTGTGATTTATCCTGATGCATTTTCTACTTCAGGACACTCATTGGGTTCCCAAACAGTGAATTTCCCATTCTGTTTATGAAGCAGGACCTTCTCATCTTAAGCAAAATTAAATCACCTCACCTTCTCTTGTGTTTCATAAGTTACTTATTTTTTTTTTTTACTTCTTAGATTTATATCCAGATTTTCTTCCAAGATCTCATATCTACATGTACAACATTCCAATTTTCCTCAATAACCCTGAGAAGTAATTGGTACAAAGAAAATGACTGGCCTTTCATACCTAATGTAAAATGAATATAAAATAGCATTGAGGGACAGGAGGAAAAGCTTCAAGGAAGACAGTGGTCAGCTAAGCAGAGCCTAAAACTAGTCAAGAAAATCTTTAGAAAAATCTTGGACAATCTCCCTAGTTCACACAAACATAAAGTGAGGGAGGGGAAAACATATTCAGATTTCCAAGGTGGAAAAGTCCTGACCTTTTAGAATACTGCATTCAGTTTTGGTCACCACAATATAAAAAATATGTTGACATTTTAGAAAGAGTGCAGAGAACAGTAACAAAGATAATTAGGAGGATGGAGACTAACATGTGAAGAATGGTTGGAGGATTTTGGATTGTCTAATCTAGTGAATTAGTGAAACCCTGACTACTCTTTAGAAGAACAGATCCTGAAGATGAAACTCAACTATTTTGGCCACCTAAAGAGAAGGACGGACTCGCTGGAGAAAAACTTAATTCTGGGAAAGACTGAGGGCAAAAGAAGAATGGAACAGAGAGTGATGTGGCTGGATGGAGTCACCGAAGCAGTAGGCGTGAGCTTAAATGGACTCCAGAGGATGGTAGGGGACAGGAAGGCCTGGAGGAACGTTGTCCATGCAGTCGCGATGGGTCCGACACGACTTTTCAACTAATAGCAACAACAAGTCTAGTGAAAAGGACTGTGGGTGACATGATAGAAGCATTCTAGTATTAGAGGGGCTTCCACAAAGAAAACGGGAGTCAATCTATTTTTGAAAACAAGACAATGGTTGGAAACTAACCAAGGTGAGAAGCTACCTAAAACTTAAGAAATTTGCTGGCTGTGAGAACAATAAACCAGTGGAATGGCTTGCCTTCAGAAGTTGTGGGTGCTCCATCATTGGAGTCTTTTAAAAAGACTGGATGGTTGTTTGTCTGAAATGGGTTTCCTGCTTGAGTAAGGAGTTGGACTAGAAGACCTGCAAGGGCCCTTCCAACTTTATTCTGTTATTCTATTGGTTTCATAGTCTGCTCACCTTGTTGGGTTGACATCTATTGAGCTTTCACAATTAAAGCTCTTTCTAAATGATTATTATGCTTCACTTTTCATGTCCTGCCTTTCATATATTGTAGGATACACTGTTCAAAAAGTTCTTAGAATTATTTGCATATTTTATATGAAGAAAATGGGATTCTGTTATCTGCTTAGATGAGTATATTATAAGTCTATAAGTATATATAAGTATTTTATATATACTTAACACGCTTCTATTAATTATGTCCTTAATTACTGGAGATATTGGTTTGTCTGTTTTGGTTGTTTACCCCTTCTAAATTTTTTAACTTTTGGGATAAAAGGGTATCTGAAATAGAACTGGAAATTAATCTTTCCTTTTTTGATAAAAACATTTTATGATTGAAGTGTTCATTTTTTAAAAAATTGAACATCAATAGGTAATATGAAAGATATATGATCTATATTAAGAATATCCATAGGATACTTTTTTAGTTTAATATAGAAATTGTGTTTCTTGCACACAGAATGAAGCAGTTCCTATGTGTGTGAATACTTGATATAGACATAACACTAACATTAATTCTTAAAAGACCAGAAGTAGCAACATCTAAGGCTTGGCAGTTGGTAATTTCTACCACTGAACCTACTGCCATTACTAGAAAGAGGTGGTGTCATGTATTATCTAGCTGCTTCTTTTATGTCTTTCACCTCTTAAGTTTGAAAAAAGTAGCACCTGGCCCTGAAGGAGGGATGATCCAAGTATATCAGTTGAAGCAGCCAGCTCTTCACAAGAACAGTTCTCTGCATAGTTGACATGTTCTACAGTATTGTTATCTTTATAAATAGCTCTTTTTTTAGTTCTTTTGTTATCATTACATGAACTGGGAGCTTAAAATTCTACGATAGGGCAGTTAACCCATGGGGAGAGAAAAGGAACTCAAACAATTGGTGAAATGATATAAACACTCCTATGTGACCAGGGGTGGTGGCTCAGTGGGCAAGATGCTGAGTTCGATCAAGTTGGCAGTTTGAATCCCTAGTGCCATGTAACAGAGTGAGCTCCCGTTACTTGTTCCAGCTACTGCCAACCTAGCAATTCAAAAGCATGTAAAAATGCAAATAGAAAAATAAAAACCACCTTTGGTGGGAAGATAGCAGCACTCCATGCACCTTCGACATTTAGTCATGCCAACCATATGATCACAGAAACGTCTTCGGACAACTCTGGCTCTTCAGTTTAGAAATGGAGATGAGCACCGTCCCTAGAGCTGAAAACAACTAGCACACATGTTCGGGTGAACTTTTACCTTTATGCCACCAGAAAGTGGTGTGGGATAAAGCATCCTTGTAACTTGTTCATCCAGCCTTTTCATCTTATGAAATGGAATTTTTTTCTATGAATGCATCCATCATCCTCCAACAATTCCATGATTATATTTCAGAATTCTTCCTTAAGTTTCAAGCAAAAACTTATATGGAGTTGCCTAATAAAATAACCAGAAGGGGAAGGGCAGGTGACACAGCTTGTGTCAAACCTACCATCTTAACATTCAAAATCATTTTGTCAAAAATTTTCGTGACTGAACAAAAACAAGTCTAATGTTTAGATGTCACTCTCTTGATTTAAAAACAACTCTCTTATTCTTAAATGCCTGTGTGATAATTACATTCTGATTACTTAGAAGCAAGAAAAACACTCTGTTTCAATTCTGACTTTGGATTTCTCACTTTAGGAAGCTTTTAAAAACAGGTCAGAGAGACATTTCTGGTAGGAGGTTTAATTAACTTTTCTGCCCTTCTCTCTCCGCTTCTACATAATACATCCCACAATCACATTTCACCAAAGAGAATTGTATAGAGCGCGCGCGAATAAAAAGTGGGCTGGGATTTTCCCACCCACCAGCGGATCCCGTGATTGTCGTACAAACGTGGCGAGGAAAACAATTGGCCTGCAAGGGAGCTGCGGCAGCCATTGGCCAACGTGCTCGGGAGAGATCGTTCCCCGGAACTTCTCCGCTTTGCTAGCTTCCCGTCGGGGTCCCTTTCTATGTCGCGTCCGCTGTTGCTTTTGCTTTGGGCCGCCGCAGCCGCTGCTAATTCCCGGCCTTTGTGGCAATGGGAAGCGATGGCTCGCTTGCAGCCGGAGGCGGAAGAAGCCCGTCAGGCAACAGCGGTGCGGGAACTCCTGGAGCGGCTTTTGGGCCCGAGGGCAGCTTCTGCCTTCGCGGTATCCATGAACCGGTCTTTGGCCGGGCCTGGCGGTCTCGATACATACCGGCTGAGCTCGAATAGGCCGAACACGATAAACGTCTCTGGCTCCAGTGGAGTGGCCGCCGCCTCGGGGATCTACCATTACTTGAAGGACTTCTGCGGCTGCCACGTGTCCTGGTCTGGGGCGCAGCTCCGACTG